TGTTCCAAATATTATATGTGAATATTTTGCATGTGTGTTTTTATGTATGTAGAGAGAGAAAGATACAGAAGAAGAAGAAGAAGAAGAAAAAGAAGAAAGAAAAGAAGGAGAGAGAGAGAAAGAAATAAACACACGCACAAAACAGAGCAACATTCAATTTGTTAACACAATTCTCATATATGCGGCACTTTACACGTTAAATGTTTGCTCAGCTAGGTTCATTGCGGTCAATAGTTATTACCCTTACTACTACTATTACTATTATTTCTGTTGCTACAGTAGCTACTACAACGGCTACTACTAATACAACTATATTACTGATTGTATTTTTATCACTGTGTTACTTCTATTAAATACTACTGCTATAGTCTCTGTCTGAAAATTACTGTTTTTTTATCCATATTTTTGCGCAGACACGTTCATCAGCAGTCATGGGGTTCAAATGCACGGACCTGCAATATTTGCTATTGACCACAGAAAAAAATTATCAACTGCGATTTGATGTTTTCTGATTACATATCTTTCTTGTGTTTAACATGAAGATACTAATATATATCTTTCTTGTGTTTAACATGAAGATACTAATTTCTTTCTTATGTTTAACATGAAGATACTAATATATATCTTTTATATGTTTATTTAGTAATAGAAAAATTTAATAGACAACATTGTTAAAAACACTCGCTGAAATTGAAGTTTGAGCGTAAACTGATCATACAAGATACCTATATATTATAATTTTCTTTATTCACACGATAGGTTTTTGACACTTATTAACACCTTGAAAACTCAACAAACTCAAAAATTAATGACACATTCATCCACCTTACGAGCAGTTACATTTTATATTATTAATATGTTGCGAAGCTAATTACGTTTTAGCGTGCGTCCAATTAATTATGTTAATTTATTTCTTCTGCGGCTCGTTGGCTATGATTCCCTTGGCTGCTGCCTTGGCCAGGATGCCCCTTGCCGCTTCTTGTGGGTCATCAGCCTGTCGTATGAATATATTAATAAATTATTATAACGTGATTGAGTGAATGTTTCATAAAACTACAATTTAAAAATTATTTTGACATAAAGTTGAAAACGGTCTATTACAATTATTGAAAAGGTCATGAAGGTGCTCTGTTTTCACGTTTTGACGCCAACTGCCTGATGGCGTAATGGTTAGAAAGAGGTGTCTGCCTGTCTGGTCCTGCTGCTGCGGTGACTGCGTTCGAATGCAAGAAGATCCCTGCCTATCATATGCAGTGTGTGTGCGGTTTTCACTGCAATGTAACCCTTATCATCACCATCCTCATCCTCATCATGGCTGTCATCATTATCGTAATCATCATCACCAACAAACATCATCATCATCATCATCACCTCTCTGTTGATGACGGCAACGAAGCATCCGCTGGTCATCTTGGACGGTTGAAACTTCAAATACTTGTTACTCAACGGCATTTCGCTTTCTATATCTTTCTCCGTTAGTGGGATGCCTGTGAGTGTGTTTGTTTGTGTGTTATTACGTATGTGTATGTGTGTGTTTGTATGTGTCGCTACGTGTGTGTTATGTGTTGTGTTTTTCTACGTGTGTGTGTGTGTGTGTGTGTGTGTGTGTGTGTGTGTGTGTGTGTGTGTGTGTTTGACTTTGTACGTGAGTTTACATGCGTGTATTTTTGACTGAATGTGATTGTGTCGGCTATTGGCTTTCGATCTACTATGCAGTAATAATATACACAGAGGACTTAATTAAAGAAAAACACTGATCGCCATCTAGGATTGATAAAAGATTTTTTTTAAGATAAACTCTTTCGAATAATCAACGAATACCATGAATATGTCAGCAGTGGCTTATAAAATTATGTCGATGAAAATATAATTAACCAACTTTTTAATATTGTTAAATTTTTTGTCTAGAAAAAGCATATTTATGAAAAAAAACTTAACCACATGGACTTGCATAAAAGGAAGAAAACTATTTAGATGTACGTTAAAGTGAGCTTAAGATGATATACAACATCTTAATTGAGAAGAAATAATATTTTAATATCAATTAATTAATCACCAATAATAAAAAACTATAATAAAAATAAAAATGTATAATAAAAAAATATACTAAATAAATATATAATATATATAAATATAATAAATAATAGTAATAATAATAAGTGAATAAGAGAAGGACGGACTGACCTGGTGGCGCGATCCTGTATGGTGATTTTGTGAGTTGTGTTGTGTTGAAGTTCTCGATTGCACCCTCTACCACCTCCTCATTCTCGGCCTCGTTCAGTGAGTTTGTGATGTAGATCAGAGTTTGCAGACGTGGAACTATTAGGATGGTTGCGGAGGAGAGGAGTTTTTGTCGTTGGTCGTTGGTCGTTGTGTTGTGTTGGTGTTGAATGTGTCGTTGGTATTTCCTACTTGATTCGTAGTTGTGTCGATGTTTTGTGAGTTTGTTGTTTTAGCAGTTGTTTTGTTGTTTCAGCAGTTTCTTACGGTAGATTGGAAAGGAAGATAATATTCAATTAATAAAAAAAAACACTCCAAATTTGGGTAAACTCCCTACCAAAAACGACAAAAACAGTTAAGTTATAATAATCCATTGATCACGCACATTCACGTGCATTGTGTGTTTCGTTGATGTTTCTGTGAAGAGGAAATTCAAGAGAAAATAGTAAAAAATACGTATAATAATAATTCTCACACAGCATGGCGTGTTTCAGAAGCTTGTAATTCTCCATCTTCAACTCCTTCACCTTGTTCTGATCAGTGAAGCCAGACGCTAAGTCCTGGAGAACCGTGGAATCTTGTGTGTTTGATTATGTCTACGTGTTTCTTTGCGTCCGTGTGTGTGCATGTGTGGGTGTTTGTGTGTGTGCATGCGTGTGTGTGTGTGTGTGTGTGTGTGTGTGTGTGTGTGTGTGTGTGTGTGTGTGTGTGTGTGTGTGTGTGTGTGTTTGATATGCGGGTTCACGGTTGAAATAGAACAAAAAGTTAAACACCTATATTAAATAAATTGATATGACAAATGAATGAAAGGACTTAGCTGTGCTAATACAAAATTACCAAAAAGGTAAAATTGAAATAAGATCAAATCAAAATTGAAATACTAACATGTTTGGAAATCGTAATCTGCAATGTCAACATTTCATTCATTCAGACTATTATAGTTTGTTCAAAAGTTAAAAATGTTCGTTAAAATTAAAAGGACTTGATTGCTTTAATTTTCGGAACTAAGACATGTAATTTTTAAATATTTAGTAAAGTCCAGAAATAAAAGTTTTCCAAAATCAACATGAACTTTTCTCACGACTCGTATGAAAAAAAAATCAAAACTTTCATTAAGACAAAAAATCGTTTAGTTATGCCCATTCACAGAAACAGCCATCCACAATTAGAAATCTGAATCCACCTACCTTTGCCTTCGCTGACGATGAAATTGACGGGACTGACCACTCCACTGCGCGTGCACGATGCCTCGACTATCATCACCTTGATCTCCTTCAATGGTTCGACATTGTGCTCGTATTCCAAGAAGGACTCACTCATCAGTTTAACACGGTCTTTTTGATTGATGGTTGTGGCGTTTTAAAAATAGAATCATTATTTTCAGTAGAATCAGTTGTCATATTTGTTTGTTTGTTTGTTTGTTCGATTATTTATTAAATAGAAAAAAACAACCATCTATCTGTTGATTAATTTTTCTTAAGTAATAACCCTGACCTCTAACTCCCAACTTCTCGAGATTCATACTGCACTGTTTCAGTTGTTTCTTCGAAGTGACACCAAAGGCATATACCGAGGACCCCCTGTTGTACAGGATGCTGGCCAGGTGCCCTGCAGAGATGGCCGACCCAACATTGACATACACGACATCATCGTCCTCACCCAAGACCGACACCAGAGCATGCAGGCCAACGCTGCTTGATTTGTCCTTCGTATATTAGCAAACTTTGTTTTAGACCAATAAGTCATTCATCTCTTATGTGTTAATGTATTATGTTTTTTTTTATAAAACAGACGGAATAAACAAGGGTTCTGGTATTTATAATTAAGCTCGTTTTGTTAATATGACGTTTAAATTTCTATGACAGTTAAGTGCTAATCTCGTGTTTTTGAGCGAGTACTTTGCAGGTGTAATAATTAAATAATCTTGCGACCGGATGAATGTGAAACTTTCTACGGAATTTTCGATAAAAATGTACATTGTAATATGAATCTAAAAACCTGCAAAACTAGAAATTTTTTCGTTACAATAGAAATTTTCTCTAATTTTTGCAGCATCTGTCCAGGAAAGAAAATGAGGTCAGGGCAGTGGTCATCATGGAGGTAAGTTAAATGGGTCAGTTCATCTTGCGTAGATACTTCTTTGAAGTTTTTGTCGTGGAGAGCTTGTTTGACTTCATGCAAACTGTTAATCAAAAGTGACGTTGGCATTCAACTGAATTTGCTGCTGATATATATATATTAACACTGCTTTGGAATTTAATAGCTTAATTTTGTTTAATAAAGAAATACATTCCTCCTTCCAAACAGTCATTCTTTCCTCTCTTCCTTCCAACCTCGTCTTAGCAGCATTGACCCACGCGGAGACCAGCATGCCCGATGCGATCTTATCATTCTTCCTCACTGATTCTGGGAGGAAGGAGTCCAACGTCAACACGTTCAGTGATATCCGGCATCTGATTCAAGGACGAGTTCTTATTTAAAATTTCAGAGGGAAATTTTATTTAAAAAAAACAATAACATATTAACAAATATTGAAAGTTAGAAACAGCTGCAAAGTGTTCGTTGAAATAAAAAAAACAGAGAAGCGCAAACGCAGCACAACCTTGCAAGAGCCGCATTTAACTTCGTCCTGTGCTTCATAATATCAGCTTCGATGTTCACCAGTAAAGAATCAACGGAGACGACGTTGGTGGTTCTTCTTCTGCTATCAACCCTCCCACCAATGATGTCACATTCCTTAACATTCTCAACCACATCGTCGTCGTTGTCATCATCTTCGAGATCACTACGAACCAATCTGGATTGGAACTTCCTTTCCATGTAATCACAAAGCACGACGATGATTAAGTTATGCTGCTCTCTATGCTGCTTGGCGAATGAACCAATCGTTCTTAAAAATTAGTCAGAGTGATGCATGCAAATAAATGTTGCTAACTTATTACCTTGCTATTGCTACATCAAGCGATGCCATCAAAACACGTTAAATTGATATCAAAATTATCAAAGTAGTAACATCGGCACCGTCATAACATCAATGTCATCAACAACATCAACTTGCAAACAATCAAATACCAGCGTGCAAACGAATGAAACGCAACAACAAAAGTTCACATGGAACAAACAAACATGAATTAGTTAATTATTTCGTACAAAAAATTCGTACAACAACTCGTTATACATACTTCGGGGTACAACTCATAAAAATGAGATTTGTCCAACATGGTCTCGAGAAATTTTTCATCTACAGAACAAAAAATTAAAATTTCGAGAATATAAACGTCAAATAATTTATGAGAATCAAATATCAAATCCGATAAAATGTGATTCGCTTGTTTGAATAATTAATGAAAGTGTTGCTTGCGTGAATAACTGCGATTGATCATCCATCATTCACTCCATCTCACGCACAGTCTTCTATGCGATGCGTTCATTCATTCGCTCTGTACTTCCACTGATGGATGCACAAGAAGGGATAACTTATTTTCGAGATCATTAATGAATCAACATCTAGCAGCTGCTGCAGCACTCACATTTCAGCGTTTGGAAAACCAGCTGGAAGGACAGCCTCTTCTCTTCCTCGTTCCTGAACAAACTGGACATATCTCTCACGTCATCATCGGCGACAACAGCATCTGATTCACCGCTGGTTTCATCAATCTTTGATGCAGCTGTAGGAATGTTGGCGTCCGTAATGGCTCCAGAAATAGTTTTGCTGCTTCCATGTTTCGATTGTTCATTGTTAGTTGCGGTTCTACCGACTGTACTGTTTGTTTTATTGAATGGTGGTACTTTGTTTTTGGCCGCACTCTTGCCTTTGTCGTCTGCGTCGCCACGACCTGTTAATTTATTTTTGTTGCTGTTGTTAGCGGTAGCAGTGTTGCCTCTAGAATTCTCCAGCAACAAGTTGTCTTCTCTTATGGCTCCGTAGATCTTTGACGCAAGTTTGTATGTGGTGTGGTTGTATCGACAATCCTAATTAAATATCAACAAATAATTTTAACAAAGCTTTATTTAGCGCTTTTATGAACTACAACATTTTCGATTAAAAGACTAACTTCATTGACAAAAAAATGTTTTATCAATTGTTTGTAACGTTCGGTGTTCTTGTTCTTGAGCAAGCAGTAAAATGGTTCTCCGATATCCAAATCAGAAACAGAATTGAAGAACGAAATCTTGGCCACAGCGCCGAACTCATCCGCAGCTCCATAAGCCATATTTTCAAAATAGGAGACTACACTCATGTGGTTGGCACTGGAACTCAAGTTGAGCACTGAATGTTCCATCACTTATAACGCGTACCTGCCGTAGAAGATTGCGTGATAAACTTCCGTATGATAAACAATCATAAATATTAACAACCTGATGAAGTGACCGTATTTTCTGTTCAAAAAGTAATTCGACATGGATTTATTACAACCTCTTACGATATCCAACGTTAATTAAAAAGATCCTATACATGGATGTGCTTCGCTGAAGTTCACCGGAGTGCGAATGGCCAGGTGAACAGTTGGTACCGCCGATATATGGAAAGAAATCATTTGGAAGGACGCCAGCTGATAATTACTCTTTAATCGTCGTTTACGCATAAAATGAACTGATTGCGTGGAATAAATGCGAAACGGAAGAAAAAATCGTTATGACTGACATTGTTGCGAATCAAAATGCATCTCGCTTTTACTCATATTACCTAATGAGTTAATCATAAGTGCAGCTACTATCACTGCTATAATTATTATTTATTGGTTAAGACAGACCTACTTTTATTACAATTATTTACCGTCAGCTGATACACAATGTACACGCGCACACCTCGCACACAAACGAACAGATATACATTACACACACACACACACACACACATCCACGCACTGTCATTAACTATTTCTTTCTTTTGCTGAGATTATACATAAGCAAACATCTTAACCACCATAATAATTTAGTATACTTACTATTAAAGTAAATATACCTATATTACAATAACTATATAATATATATATATATAGTACATATTATTACAATATATATTACATGTACATAAGCATGAAAAAATAACGATGAAAAAGACTAAATTTTATTTCCGTAATATATGAATATATATTTTTCACACATATACATATATATAACTGAAATATATGTATATATATATACATATATATATATATATATAAATATATATATATCCGTAATATACAAACGTAAATGTAACTGTAATATATACAAACATATCTATATTACAGTTTCACTAAATTAAAATTAATGCATTTAATAAAAATTAATAATAATATTAATAATAATAATAGCAATCGTAATAATAATAATAATAATAATTTAATAATAATGCAGTTATGAAATAAAATTACATATACATATGATATTATGTATATATATATATATATATATATATATATATATATATATACATATATCTATATATATCCCTAATGTAGATATATCTAATGATATTGTTTAAAATTAAACCATAAAAAAATGTATCAAAGCAAACGTTAAGAAATACATTAAAATTAAAAAATGAATGACCACGAATGCGATGATGAAGATGACGACGACGACGAGGACGACGATGATGGAAGAGTTAGAGGTATCCGTCCGTGTTTTTGTTCCTCCTCCAATAGAATATGACCTACATACGATTGTTCAAACAGGCAAATGCACCTGCGTGTGTGTCGGTTTATATGCCTGCCCGACTATATGCATATCGCTTACATTGAATCTGTATTAGTGTAGAAATCACATCTATTATAACAAATTCACCTGTTATGTAGAAGGAAGTGATCACTTATAAGTATATGATCAATTGTACTTGGATTTAAATAAATACAATCACGTATTTATTTATGTAAGTGTAAATTAGTTCCTACATGTTTGGGTAGTAGCTTATTTTAAATTATCTATGCATGTGTTTGCAATCAATGTAAAGACAATGTCTAAAAAAGGTCCATAATCAATAGATTGGATAGATCAATCAGTCAATTGATCAATCGGGAAAAATTATTTGAATGCCAAAAGTACTAATCAATCAATCAATCAATCTATCTATCAATCAATCAATCAACAAAATTATACAATGAATAGCATACTACGTGTGCGTGTATTTAACATATAAAACAAACAACTTAATCACATACGTAGTACAAGAACACACTAAACACACACACAAAGGAGAGAGAGAGAGAGAGAAACCAACACAAACATGACCCCTATGCATATTATATCATTCATCATGGTAATACATCACCATGAATACTTGCCAAAATGCACACACGGAGAAAGTTGGCAGCGATCAACCTCTCAAATTCAAAACGTTAATAAACAATATTTTCAAACATACGCAACACAAACTGCCAGCCATCATATCATATGGATGAATGAACACAGACTAACACAGATCATTCTTTCAACTGACTTTTATTCTCTTTAAGGTTTGGTTAAATGTACATTAATAAAATTATGATCAAGATGATAGATGATAGATAGAACTTTCTCTCTCTCTCTCTCTCTCTGTGTGATACTAACAATAGTAGTATTATTAATAATAATTAATAATAATAGTAGTAATAATAAATTCAATTTTTCTATCATAAATAAGATAACGTAAACATTAGGCAACAATCAAAAATAATAATTTAAAAATAAATATTAAATTACTCACAATTCGCGATTAATTATTTTTTTTTCATTGCAAATATTTTTATCCACGAAAACATTAAGAGGAATCACTTCAAACTATTATTAGCTTCATTATAAATTAATTAATTAATCATTAATTAATTAATGACGTCATCGTTTTCACGTATTTTTTTGCACTTTTTGTTCTCTTTATATTGATTTATTATATTTCTTCCAAACCAAATAAGCCAAATTATTTATTACCGGACAGATCTGTGCTTGAACTTTATATAAATAATATTTTATAAATCATTTTATATAAATAATCAACGTAAGATTTTAATCAAGTATGATTTTTTTAGTAATATTAATAACGACTGCAAAATAAACTACACTATCCCAATAACGTCATCTTCTTATTACTAACAAGGTGACGGTGATAATTAATTAATGAAAATAATTATAATTGATAAAGGACAAACACAGTTTTAGATGTACATATATATATGATATATATATGATATATTATATATATATATATATATATATATATATATATATAAACATGGCATTCTATATGTGTCGTCATTTTTATCTGAGAAAAAACAAAAAGTATGACCATCAGGCACACACACTCAGAATGCATTCACACACACACACACACACACATATATATATATATATGTATATATATATATAAGGTACACACACACATATACATATATATAATGCATGCATATACAAAATGTACATAATGCATGGAGTTACATGTACACACACAGATATCTAGCCATATAAATATACACACATTAAAATACATATATATGCATATATACATACAACAACAACAACACACGTTTAGACGACATTTTCTCCGAGATCAGGGGTTGCCGTTTGGCTACCTATGATGAAACCGAAATACCCCTCGACGCCATTCACATCTGTCACTCGCCCCAGTATCACGCAACCCCGCTTTCACTCTGTCCTTCTCCACCTGCCCTCTCCATCCCAATCGCGGACGACCCCTTCCCATCACTCCTTCAACCTCGAACTCCAACGCTCGCCTAATCCCGATCCTTTCATCCCTTCTCAATACATATCCATACCACCGCAATCTCGATCTCCTTATCAATGTCACAATGTCCTCATTCAGTCCCATCATCGACATCAGCTCTGTACTACTCCTCCTATCCTTCACTTTAACCCCACACATCATCCTCACCACAGCTCTCTCTCAGCTATGGTGAGGATATATACATACACATCATTATGCCATAAGTGTATGTATTTGTATGTGTATGCACTATTCAATACACATACCGGCATACAATTGTGTCTACAATTACCAAATTCTCCCACACACACACATGCTACACACACACACACACACACATACACACACACACGCAGAGAGACAGAGACAGTCAGGACAATCAGAGTTGATCAGCGTATCTAGATAGTTGGTCCTGTAATGTTAGAGATGTGTCGTTAGGTGTGTTGTTGAAGCCCAGCATGTTGGCTCGTGTCTGGGACAGCATAACGTGACGATTTGTGTTGTTGTTCATCGGTGTTGTACCGTTGTTGATGTTGTTCGTGCTGTTGCCGTTGTGGTTGCTGTAATTGTTAGTTTTGATAATTTAAATCATTTAATGTTGCGAAATTAATTAAAACAAGATCATTGATAACCAAATGATTGGAATACAAGAGCTGTTATTGCAATAAATTGATTCAAATGCATAACTACGCATGATTCATCTACCTGGTCATTAACTTATTGAACCTATAATACGTTCTATTTTTTCTTCATTACCTATCTTCCTATCACTGAAACTCTGTTCACAATTTTCCTGTAATCTAAAAATTATCAGATTACAGGATCTTTCCATCATCTCACAGAAGGATTTAATGGTATCTTTAGTATGAATTATCTTTTTTTTCAAAGCCTGCACGCCATCCTCGTTCCCTTCTACAACGTTTCAAACGACTACTTTTGTACGCGCACTTCTTTTAAGGTATCAGCATATGACCTTTTGAGGTTCTCTTGAAATCCATTCATCCGGTCATTAAGGTCTTCCTCGGTGGTTCTTTCGTTTACTTCATCTGACTGCACGTAATGTCGCTACTATCTTGAATTTTCTTAATATTTTCTCCCAAACAGTGGCGGATCAAGGGGAGGGGGCGGTACTGCCCCAACCAGTTGTGTGCGTTATTTGTGTCAAAAGTTAGTAAAAGTGGTTGTTTTAAGCAAAAAAGAACTGTTATTGAAAGTAAAATTGACATTTGCAGAAAAGTTGGCCCACCACCAACACAGAAAAGGAAATAAATTCTTCTCGGTCAACTTTATTGAAACCCCCACCATGTCGCCAAATATTTTTCAAGATCTAGCCCCAAGTCAATGTTGTCTAGATCCGCCACTGCTTCTAAATCATTTAGATTCTTGAAAGATTTAACAGCGTCTATTTTGTCTAGACATTTATCACAACTCAACGGAAAATTAGCAGAACTTCTTTAATTATTGGCTCAGAAATTGAAGTACACTTCCAGTGTATAATGGAATTAGAGAACTTGCAACTGTTTATTTACTAGTTAAAGATGGTTTGAAGTTTGTGGTTCGCGATGATTTGTTATACCATTATTTCTCTTGTCCCAATGCGAAATCTCTCTTGTCTCAACTTTTTAATATATTACAGATATATTATGATAAATTATATAAATTATATAAATATATATAAATTATATAAATTATATTATAATATAATATTACAGATTAAACATTTCACTAGCAATTTTTAAATTTGTAATTTACGATAACAAATTTTAACTTTAAACAGCTCAATAGCCGACAAGACAAATGCAATTATGCAGGCCCAAAACTATCAAAGACAGAATGCTAAATGAACAATGCATTTATTCACAAAATAGCTGTTTTGCACGTTATGTCATCATTATTATCTAAGGTTGTCGAAAACCTGCATTCTAAATACAAAACAACAGCCAGCTCAGCTATCGAACCTAATTTGTAATGTATTGTTATTATTATTATTATTATTCCCAGACAGAAGAAGCTGCTGCTGCTGCTGTTGTGTCTGAGTCAGCGACAATCCATTATTATCGTGGTTGACAGCTGATACGGTGGCCTGGCCAGGAGATATGATCTCCAGGACAATATTGCTCGTGCCTTCCATGTTGCTGGCAGACATGTGCTGATTTTGTTCCTGCTGCTGTTGTAAGGTGGGGTGGTTGTTGAGTATCATGTTGGTCAATCAATACCACTAGTCATTATTCATCAAAAAAATAAACAGCAAATCGAATAAGAACATGTTAATAATTAATAAAATATCTTAATGAAAATGTATTTTGTTCAAATCAATCACACTATGACAAAAAAATAAAATAATTCTAGTGAACTTAATGGAGAACCTTTTTAATGATGGCTTGCATGATTTGAGGGTTGTTCTTCAGTACGTTGATAAGTTGTGGATCTGCAACAATATTCGTTGTGTTTCCTTTTCCAGATGTCGTCAACACAATTTTTTGTTGCTGTTGCTGCTGCTGCTGTTGTTGTTGCTGTTGCTGCTGCTGTTGTTGAAGTTGTTGTTGTCGTTTAATAATCAACAACTTTTGGTTAGGATCCGATGAAGAATCACCACTTGCAGCATTGCCAATTTGTTGAGGAGCTGTCAGTCGTGGGTTCATCTGTCTCATGGCCGGTCCAGAAAATTGCTTAAACTGCATACCTGCTCTCAATTGTTGCTGCTGCTGCTGTTGGAGATTAGTTCTTATGTTGTGCTGCTGTTGTTGCTGCTGCTGCTGTTGCTGCTGCACGAGGGCACGCTGTTGTGTGAAAAGTTGTTGCTGCTGCTGATGATGATGTGAGTGTTGTTGATGCTGCATGGTGGCCATCCTCCTACGCATCATCTGGGCCTGCTGATGCCGCATCATCATCTGTTGCTGTTGAAGTTTGTTTCGAATGGCCAGACAGTAAGGAACTCTGCAGAGCATGTCGGTGCAGTGCTTAGCGTGGTAGCAGCAGAGGGCAACCAGCTGCTTACAAACACCGCAGCCCCCCGTGTTACGTCGCTTGCATGACTTGCTGTGCTCGATGATTCGCTTCATCTTTGAGCAGCTTGGCTGTGGACAAATGGACTGTGATGATGTTGTCGGGTCCTGGAAGGATATTGAAAAGATCATTAAGTCATGAAAATTAAATCATTAAAAACAAATAAAAAATGGGCTAAAGCAATAATTGTAACAAGGACTAACGTTAGCATCGAGAGAAGAAAGAGAACAGTAGCAAGCATGCACCAGCGACGCGATGCATCTTTGCAGTGACTGCCTTCTAATCTCTTGTGGTGTTAGCTCGCTCTGATTACCGGCACCTCCACTAACAGAAACAGCGGCAGAAGATCCTGCGGCCATCCCACCGGCTACGAGTTGTCGATTGGTATTCATGGAGGATAGCGATGAGGAAGAAGAGGATGTCATAGCGTTGTCGTAGTCGTCATCGAGACCGAGTCCCATCTTTTCCATCTGGTGACTGTGTCCCAGTTTCTGGTAGCATGGAACGCAGAGGTCAAAATCCTGGTGGTCAAAAGTGGTCATTGTTTAAATTTTATTATATTTACCAAAACAACATTTTTAAAACAAATTGAAACAAAAATTATTAATGTTTTAAAATAAAACAATTTCAATGTAAAATATTCCCACTTTTCAAAAGCTAAACGAAGCCAAAGACGCATACATACATATATATATATATACATATATATATATATATTATAATCACAAGATTACAATACTACCATCATGAGATTAATAAATTAATCACAAGATTATACAAGTGTAAAAAACGTCTTTCAAATTCCACCAATACACCAAGTCATTTAGAAGCCGTGACCAAATGATTGATATTAAACTTTAGAATATGAAAATACAAACGAAGGTACGTCAACAAAAACAAACCATCAAGAAAAATAAAACAAGAAAGATGAAAAGAAAAAGACTAACGTCACAGACGGAGCAATGGTAATGAGTCTCGATATTTGTTCGACAGTTGTTGCACAGGTAGCCAAAGTTGTCCCTGGCTTGTGTGTGTAGCTCGTACAACATGACCATGGAAGAATGTTTAGCTCGACGAAGAGAAGAGAACTCGTAATGTTTCTCTTTGGCCGTCATCAGAAAGTTGTCCCGACCATCCATCATGTCGCTGGAAACAAGTGGATCGGGGTCAACAATTTGTGGCAAGTGATGAGAGGATGAGGAGTACTCGTGGCTGGTGCGGAGTCGAACTACAAAGAACACCTGATGAATATCATATAATACATTGAACATCCCACGCAAATAATGTGTACTTGATTGTATCATTTACAAATCATTGTTGACTGACATGCCATTCATTTAAAACTTGTCAGTTCAATTATGAGTAATTCAAATGTGAAAACTTTAAGCCAATTTTAAAAATGACCGGTGATAGTGAAGTGTGACGATCAATTTCTCAATTAATACACAACAGCAACACCAGATTGACTAACTAACCTCCTTATGTTTCTCCATCATGGTGTAAAGTTTGGACATGAGATCATTTCCAGGATATGCTTGGCCCATTTTGGAGGAGGACTTTTTGTTCTGAGTGGACTTCTTGTTCACAGTCTTCTTCTTGTTCAACTTCCCTCCCTTCTGATTCTTCTTTACAGACATCTGCAATATTCAATTATGAAATAATAGCAATACTGCTTATTTGAATGCCGGCTCCACAAAATCTGTGCATCACCAATTAATCGCTTTAACATCATATCTACAGTCATCCTCACGATTTAAAACATCGAAAGCCACAACGTATAAATAACGAACTATTACAAATAGGAACCCACCTCTCCAGAATTTGAATGGTTATCAATATCCATACCACAGATATCATCAGTAGAGGCAGCAGCATTACTACAGCCACCAATCCCATTCCAGTCATCAGCTGCAGTAGCAGCAAAATCACCACTGCAACTTTCAGCAATAGCAAATTTCCTTCCTATTTCTTCCTGCTCCATCTCACTGATGCACGTTTCAATGACATTCGGCCAAAAGTCACCCTCAAAGTATGGCATCTCTGTGACATTCTTCATTCCATTCTCAATGGCATCTTTTATGATGTCCTGGTTTCAAATAGTGTTTTTAATGTTAATTAGCTCTTTCAATTTAAAACACAAACTCATAGAACAATCTATTATACACATCTGTTAATTCATGAATGTACGCATAGAAGACACTACCTTGTAATCGATGACGACCCTTTCAATTATGGCCTTATCGAGCATCTTCTTGTACCAATCAGCCAGTCGCTTTGGCTTCGGTATCTTCATCTCAGGAGGATGGCAATGGAAGATATAGTCATCACCTTCGCTTGGTGGACAGGCCCAAATGTGTGCCGTCGTGTATCTGAAAATAATATAATTTGCAAATTAATGTACATCTGAAATCAATATTAATCTTAAAACTAACAAATAGATCACTAATCAATTTTAGAATATGTGTCTCTGAAGATTATTTCCAACATCAATGCACGATTACCTATTTCAACACGCGATTACCTATTTCAAACTTGAACCATTCAAAGCATTAGCAATAACTCATCAAAATAGTCAAACAAATATGATGGAAAAACTTGTACAAACCCCAAATTCTTCACGTAGTCTAAATATCCTATGAGAATTTCATGATAGACAGAAGTTCTGAAATGTCGTGGCTGGAAGAAGTTGACACTATCCAGGTAAGCAATGTACACACGCCTGTTTCATTCAATGGTTAAGCACAGTTAAGCGTCAGTTGTAAACATTTTTTACAATGATGCCAAACAATCTAACAATAAAACAACAACTACCACGAACTATCTGATAACAAAGCAATCATAACAATCATTAATTTAGTCAGCTGGTGTGATGTTTAAGACACTCAATATCGCCGTTGCAATGCTCGGGTTCAAATGCTAAAAGATCCCTGCCTATCACATGCTGCGATTTACTCAGAGAGAGATAATAAAACAACCACCTTACAACACTACGACTGACCTTGTATTTGGAGGTGGACATTTTGACCCATACTCTTGGACATGCATTCCAAAGAAACAAACATCGGTGCCATTGATATCCTCGTAAGCAAATATGGCCTTAGCAGTATATGGAAAAGATTCGGGAAACTCAGAATGGTGTGAGTTGTCAACATACGATGAGGATGAAGAAGATAATGCTAGCTGTTGTTGTTGACTTGCACAAAAACGTCCCTTCATGCCTGGCTTAACTTCGACGAACTTCTCTGAACTGGAGTGCACTCGAATGATGACGTCACCAGAACCTGACTTGTTGTCACGTAAGAAGGAGTTGATGCGGTTCTCCAAGTATGTGCCTAGTTTTGTCTGTGGGAGATCTGCAATGTGCAGTTGGGTTAAGAGGGTATGAACGTTGGCTTGCAATTACAACCATGCTTACAAATTAGACGGGAGCACTATCCAATCAGAAATAATACTGATAATAACAATTGGAGAGCTGCCGATAGCAATAAACAGCAACAAACTATAACAACACAGAAAAATAAAAACATGATAAGAAAGAATGAATAGCAAATAGCAAAGATCCCTTGAAACTTACTCTTGGCAGTGTACTTGTTCTCCTTCCTCTTGATATTGGCATGTTTGCAGCAGTGGTGACATACAAAACAATCTGGCCAGATAGGTTGATAGTACAAGGAGCATATCTGGTGCTGTTTGCGGCCGCAGTGAGTGCATTCCACAAACAGTTCTGGCTCTTGTTTGTTGTTTTTCAAACGACTGAATGATGCCTTCTCTATTATCCTGTAAAAAATTAGAAGAAAAATCGATAGTAGTAATAAGAAAGCACAACAAATAACAATAAACTTTACCATATTGAAAATTGATACTATATACTAACATAAAATTCAAATTTAAAAAAAAAACGAAAGATCTAAGCTTAATATAAATTAGAAAATGACCAAACATTAAAGTAATGAATAAAAAGATAACTGACACAGGAGGTTGTGTAGGGTCATCAGTCAACTCCACGTCCTTACTTTTTATGTCATTGAAGCAACTCTCACAGTAAACGTACCTGTCAATTTAATTTTGAGTTTTAAAGGTTAAAAGTTACTCTCTCTCTCTCTCTCTCTCTCTCTCTCTCTCTCTCTCTCTCTCTCTCTCTCTCTGTTGCGCTTGCTTCAGAGGTCTTAGCAGTATATGGAAGACGACCTTGTTTGTTTTTATTTACGTTTGTTTGTTGAAGGGTTAGTTTTTTTTCATTATATTTAGCAGGTATTTTGAGCTATGCTTATAAAACATTATACAGTACATAAAAAATTAACAACAATAAGACTTAGAAATAATAACAATGTAGAATAGAAGTTATTTTACAATCACTGAACAAATGCTTGCACAATGTAACAATATATAACATGCAAGCAAACAACAAGAAACAACATTACAAATGACAACAGGACAGACTTGTTCAGATAGCCAAAGTAAGATGCTTTGACGGGAATTGTGCACATCGGCTTGCCGTAACAGCAGAGGACCTGAGGATTAAAGTAGTAATAGCGACCACAGCAGTAACCCAGTGACTTCATCAATGCCTCTATTTCCGGTTCAAACACTTCCGAAAGCTGTCATTCATTGGGTTGGGTCAAATTATCCAATTATTAAATATATTGAATAAATTGTTTGTAAGTATTTTTTGTAATTAATATAAAAAAGACTAATTAATTGATAGCAGTTCAGCACAAAATCACTCGACAAAACATCCCAATAAAACTGGAACTTTACAAAAACTAGAATATAACAACCAGCAGCTAAATAATCAATTAATCAAACAGACGCAAAAACAATCAACCAACCACTCAATCAATCATACCAGTCAATCAACTTACTTTAGTACAGTATTTGTGGACTTTTGATGCCTTACGATTGTAGACCCATGCATTATTGAACATCAGCCAAACATCGTTGACCATCTCCCAGGGTTCAGTGTACACGCCTGTATCCAGCTTCCTCCTGATCTTCGACAAGTCCATTGGTTTACGGATTACATCAAAGTAATCCTGCATTTGTTTATTTGTTTGATTAGTCAAAACTGAACCAGAGGACAGATTATAGTATAGAGAAAGAAAAAGAAAAACTAACTGGAATGTTTAACTGAAGAGGGTCAACAGGTTGCCTGAATGGCAGAGATTCTGGGTCCAATCGATACAACTTTTCAAGAATGGGCATCAGATATTGTCGCAATTCGTCACACTTCCATTCTGTCATATTATCAGTTACGTGTTACATTTTATTATTTAATATACCACATTACATTAACATTAAGGGTTAAAACATATGTATATTTTTTATTGCATTGTATCATAAATGAATAGAAAGCTAGTCTAATAAAGCAACTATTTGATTGTTAGTCAGTAAATTGTTAAATACAAATTTTTCAATTAATTTGATGCCCAACAGAGATAACAATAGAAAGGTGGACAAATAAATAAAAAAGAAATAAGATGAAAAAATTACAAACCTTTCTTTCGAGTTGGAACCTTTTTCTGTGTATCTTCAGCCATTTTGTCATCATCCAAAGAACTGAGAGTGAATGGTTTACTCTCAAATTTGGATTCAGTTTTAATTTCTGTCTGCACAACATCCTAGTTCAATGAAAAGTTTTGAATTTATATACTTACAATAAAATTTTCTATAGTTTTTTTAATAATTTTTTCATCCCACACAAGTATCATATTAAAAATTTGAAAATTGTAGTAAAAAGTAAAAATGATACTTGAATAATGATTAACTAAATCACTTGCTGTTCCATTCATGTCAAAAGTAGATGTCAGACATAATTATATAGCAGGTATGCAAAGAATACAAATAAATAATAAACATATGTAGGTATGTGTGAGTGTGTGTGTGAGAGAGAGTGCGGGTGTGTGCATAGCAAACGTGATATAGAAGCATATATTAATTAATTAACCTGTTCTTTCTTTTTTATCAGTATGTCCTGCAGTTGTTTTTGAGCAGACGGGCCTGCTGTCGCTCCATTAACAGTCTGGTTCATTTGTTAAAAGTTAATTTTAAATACTTCATTGATGTGGATGTGTTGAGGGTGAAGTTATTATGGAGTTGCATCGTGGTGGATTGTGTACAGTTACATTAAAATAGTGAATGGAAATGTAAGAACGCAACAAATGTAATTTCAGCAGTTTCTTTATTAGTGAATTATTTTTCAATCATAATTTATTATATATACAGCTGACTGTTTGTTTTCAGTTCATTCATTCATAATAGTTGTAGATAAATTTAAACAAAGTAATTAAAATATATATAGCACAGCTAATGCAATGTCTGAATTATATTTGCATCCAAACTAGGTCATAAAACAAATAACTAGCACCACATAGATTTAAATTTGATAATTGACAATTATTAATAAATTGCTGAAAGTTTGAGGAGCATAAATTTCATGATTCAAATGTTTGTGTAATTCATACATACAGTTTTTATCAACTAGAAAAAACAAACAGAATCAAACTGACTTCACTAATTGTCCTATTGTTAGGCACAGTAGTCATAGAAGTTTCTCCACCATTAACAACATTGTTGTGGTTGGTAGCCGCAGCAGCAGCAGAAGTCGTGGAAGCAGTAGCTGTGGTAGCAGACAAACCATCCGATTGTAGACCTAAAGTAGACAGTGACTTCTGTTCAATTATTCTTTTTGTTCTGCGTTCCTCAAGCTCTTTTTGAACTTTGTAGATCTTCTCAGCCAGGAAATGATAATACTGCTCTCGACTGTTGGCTTGCTCATACATATCCCCTGCACAAGTTTTATTACAACTGCTATTATAATACTCTAATAATTAACTAATTCACTCTCTACAATTAAGAATCAACTATTTTGCAAACATACATCATCCAACAGTTTCAAATGTAAAACTTTCATTTGAAGCATTATATAAGAGAAATGAATAAACAATAAGGTTATGAACTATGACGAAATCATCAATTATTAGAAATAATAAACCACCTTCGACTTTTCTGGCATACTGGACCAAACTGTTCATTCGTTTGTCCATGAATGCCTGACGATCAGTTGTAGGAAAGATGGCATGGACTCTGTTTGAAAACCACAAAGTTCTCATATATTGTTCACTAAAAATAAATAATTGCAATTTGTTAAAAACTATCTGTTAACATAAGTTTTTCATTTAAAATGTTAAAATTCAATGTAAGTAAACAGGCAAGAATTAAAACTACAAATAAACTAGGAATATGCAAAAATTGTCAGAAATAATTTTTGTAAAATGGATAAATAGGTTACATTCTAAAACGACTTATTAGACAGTTGTGACTCACAGTTTCAGTACAAGATGGGTTCTGAGGTCATCTGTGACGGTGGCATGCCAGCTCTTGCTTGCACCGTTGTTCAGAGAAAGTGGTAGACACGCTGATTGTAACGAAGAAGCCTCCAGTTGGGTGGTCTTAGATGACGACGACGACGATGGTGTTGATGAAGATAATGATTGGTCGAGCTGCTGATTATTGTGATTGGTTGTGAGGAATGTGTGACAATTTGTAGTGTCATTAATTAGCGAGAGTCCTAAGGCTTCATATGCTTTCGCCATCATAGCTGGCTGAAAAGAATGTTGTTGTGACGTCGTTGGTGCATTAGTTGATGTCTGGTGATTGTTTAAGACAGACGACGTCGATGTTGATGATGTCTGTGCATTGGTTGTTTGCAGAAGCGACTGAAGAGTAATGTTGTTAGGTGCCATCACTGTTGACAATGTGCCATTTTGTTGTGTTAATGAAAGGCCATTGTTAATGTTGTTGACACTGCTACTGCCATTCATCGTTGCAACATTATTTTTGCTGTCAGCTAGTTTGTTGTTGTTCAGTTGTTGTCGCTCCATAATTTTCTGTCTGACAGGATTACAAACAGAACAAGCAGGAGCAACACAGTTCCTAGAATGATGCAGAATTTGTTTCGAAGAAATACAGCAGTACTCTGGATAGGAAAAAAAATTTATAAACATGTTTCATTCAATCTCATTAATAAATTAATCATAAAAAAATTAATTTTGATAGCTAGGCATTACATGCTGTCTTTGAAAGACTTTTCACTATAAGCTTATTGATATTTTTCTAAAATCTAAAGTTTGAAGGATTTGCTATAATATAAATATTATTTTTGACCTCTTAGCCTCATCTGAAATAGAGCAATAAGTTAAGACTGTCCATCAATTTAGCAAATAACAAATCCCTATCCATAGTGAGAAGAGACAATTTTAAAAAAAGAAAATACAGTTTTAAAAATATATAACCAAAAAAACTTCAGGTCCCCTTAACATTACATAAGTAGATGATAGTGAAGAGCAAACATAGATGCCATCAACAAAAATAAACTTCTTCAATCCCGAAATAAAATAAGAAAAAGCAAATAAATAAATGATAAAGGATTATATGAGAAATTTTCTGTCTAGAAAGCAGATATTATAACAAAAAAAAAGTCAGTTGAAGTAAATAAACAATCAAGTAAGCAAAATTATCAAACTTATTTAAGAATAACTAACCTTTGCACGCCTTCTCCAATTTACAAGTTTCAATATGGCTCAATAATTTCCTCATAGCCGGGCAATGTGGCTGGTCGCATGTGAAATTTGCGAGCCCATTTTTTTTCAGTTTGTTGGCACAGTCTTCAGCATGTAACAATAAAAGAAGCTGCTGTTGGATTTGTCGCCTCTTCGTTGGATCTGATAGTGTACCAGTAGTTCTTGTCGTAGCTGTCTGAGGCTTGGGTTGTTGCTGTCGTAGCTGAGTTTGTTGAAATTGTTGTTGTAGTTGAGTGTTTTGTTGTTGCTGTTGTTGCATATTTTGTTGCTGTTGCAATTGCTGAATATTCTGTTGTTGCTGTTGTAATTGTTGTATATTTTGTTGTTGTTGCTGCTGCAATTGCTGTATATTCTGTTGTTGTTGTTGTTGCAATTGTTGTAAATTTTGTTGTTGCTGTTGCTGTTTTTGCAGTTGTATTTGTAACTGTTGGGATGGTTGTTGTTGTAATTGCTGTTGTAGTGTTTGCAATTGTTGTTGCTGTTGTTGGTTCCTGACAATTAATGCTGTATTGGCTGTTGGTTGTTGTACTAAAACTTGCTGGCGAAGTACAGCAGGCTTCTGGGGATTAAGCACTTGTTGCATTTGAAGCTGAATTGGCTGCATCACTTGCTGCTGCTGTAGCTGCTGCACATGCTGCTGCTGCTGTTGTAACTGCATCTGATTAGTTTGCGGTTGCAGTTGATTTTGCTGTGGCTGCTTTTGAACAATGACATGATTGATCTGATTGGACAGTGTCTGTTGGGACTGGACTTTCTGTTGAAATTGTTGAGGAGGAACATTGCCATTCGGCGGAATGACTAATGTTGCCATTGTCTGATTTGTGTAAGCCACCTAAAAAATATATAAATTATTTTATGACATGATACCAAAAAATTTTATTACTTTTATTATTCATATATACATGTTAAATTTCAAATTAATTAAATTATAAAAATTCTATTGTACATAGACTTATAAATAGATGAATAAATAAAAAAATAACGGTACTTGTTTGTTGTTTGGATTTTGTTGCACGACAAGTACAGGTCTAGGATGTTGCTGCTGCTGCAAAACAATAGGCTGGTATATGACCGGGGTTGATGTCGAAGATGATGAGGCAGGCAAATTATTTTGAACAATGGCAACAGGATTCCGTAAAGAAATATTTTGATATGGTATTCTCAAAGGAACAACATTTCCTGACTGGTTACTAAATGTAACCACTGCAGCAGTTGTTTTGCTGTTTGCGGAAACTGTTGTTGTTATAACATTTTGTAAATTCGTAGCCAGAAGAGGTCGTTGCTGCGATGATGTTGCAGATGATACATGTTGAATGTTCACTGGATTCTGAAGTCTTAACAACCCTATTTGATTCACATTTTGGGATGGCAAGGGTTGAACGACAACATTAGGAGGTATGTTTGTCGAAAGAATAGCCTTAGTATTGTTGACAGTTTGAACATTAGAAGGTGAACCCAGTAATGTCCCAGATTGAATTGCCAATGCAGGAGTTCCTGTTGGCGCTGAAGCATTTGTCTGCACTTGTGGTTTAATTTGTTCGACCACATCAGGTGAATTACGTTTTATTGGGTTAATGAAAATTTTTGTCAATTTATCCGCAAAGGGAACACAACTGATTGTAATGTTGACTTTGTTGTCTTGAGTTGCATCATTTGGTAACGTTGAACCGGAAGGTTGCAAACTTGTTTCATTGCCTTAGAAATAAATATAAAAAATAAAAATAACTTTTGTTATAAAAAAAATAATTCAAAGCGGATTTTAAAAAAGAATTCTTACATTTTGGTTCTTCTACTTTTAGACGTTTAGATGGGGGTTCTTCAGTGTTGCTGTTCATTTCATGCTAATCTGTGCGACAACCAAAATTATTTTGAGTTGTTGATTATGCATAAAAATGAAAAAATAAATGATGCAAAAAATTATTTTTAATTGAAAACTAGCATCATCCAACGTAAAAAATTAAATAAAATATGAACATAGATCTAATTATCGCACGAAAAAATTCAGTTTATGGGTAAAAATTACTAACCGAATCGCGAAGGAATTACAATTACGAATTAGGCATCCGCCGTTCGCAGAGCACGAGATATCGGCCAACGAATGCAACAAACTCTAATGAAATATTCTGACAAAATAACTAGTAAAAACGTGAAAATTTCACCGATTATTCTAAATAACTTTCAGCTGTTACAAAATCAACATATATTTTAAAATTATCAACGATTAGTTGGTATAAATATAACAAAATGGCGAAAAAAATCACAAATAAAAGCTAAGACATCCGCCATCTTTGAGGTTCGAGTTATATATATCCATGTATGAATATTAATTAATATACGATCTTTCTACATATATATATATATATATATATATACATATATATATTTTACGATCTATAACAATGTACGGTGTTAATGTATTGTATTATGTAAAGAATCTAGAATAATATTATATATATAAATATATATATATATATATATATATATATATTTATAACTAATTCAAAATATTAGAAAATCAACCAAAAAACTTGTTAATGCTGAATCGTCGGTGGATTTTTTGAACAACTGTATAGAACTTGGTCTTCTTCCTAATATATATATATATATATATATACGTATAATGAAAAATTTTATATTGTATATATAAAATTTATATCGGATACATGAAATATAGTATTTTATAAAAACATAGCATATATTATTTAGTAATTTATATATATCATATATAAAGAATGATATCTAAATATGCGTGCTTAAATATATAATAGTTAAATAAATTTATCTCTATGCGTATGTATTAGTAGATTTAATTTAATAAATAAAAAATAAACCACTAACAGACTGTCTTATAGATGGTTCAAATTGTTTGAACTCAAACTCCCGATCATTATAATTTATCATTATCATTTATAATTAACAAACAAATGCTTTTGAAATATGCACTAATTGTAATCCATCAATTACTGCGGCCGGCAGATTTGTTGGCGAACATGAATCTCTTCACCCTTTATATAGGGGTAGGTAGGTACGCGGTGTGTTGAATGAACGGAATGATCACATTCATTTATCAGTTATCAAAAATCATATACATACATTAACGTTGTGTTAAGTTAAGCACCATTTTTTATTTTGTATAGTCCGTTTGTATATTTTTAAATGAATAAATATAACTTTCACTCGTTCACTCTCACTCTTTCTCAAAGCTATCAATGTCTTGATGAATGAATGAATGAATTAGTCACAAAATGTCGACATTGCTTAATAAAAGGTCTGGGCTAGAATTCTTTAATGTAAACCACCTCACTGATCTCACCAATACACGATACTGCTATGTTGAGATTTTAAAAAAAGTAACTGACTATTCAACATTTTTGTGGGTATGAATTTCATAACAAGTACATTCATGGTAGTTAATTCATAGTGTGTATTTACAAACTGCATCAATATATACACCAGGCGAGGATATAAACTGTATCATATCATATCATGTGTATCAGAGGTATCAAACTTGATCAACGTGTTAGCTCAGTCAGCAGGAGTGCCATGCTTCGAGCTGCTTTTACGCGATTGCATGGCTGCATGGTTCGAAACTCAAAAACAATCGTACGCATGTGATACGGTGCTTGTATGTGCATACAAAATGTGTATGTGCATCGTGTGGTGTGAATAGTGTACAGCCTTGGTAGGTTAGGGTTAGGGCACGAAAGTTCAAATATTATAAGTTAATAGAATAACATGTGACAGAGCTACGTTGTAAAGAATAAAAAAAACTTGTTTTCAATGAAATTTGTTAGCTGGCTCACAGCTTATTTTACTTACAAAAATAAATGCACGACAAAATTTAATGACTCAATTTTTAACTCAATTTTGCACGTTGAAAAACATCGCTAGTTTTAAAACTAAATTTCAGGAAATGTTTTGCAATGGAGATCGGCGAGTGATTACTTCCTACAATATTACCAGAACTTCAAAATTAAACTCAGGCGACTTTTCGGTATGGAATGAACAGTAGGTAGGTAAGTACCGAATCAACAGTGTACAAATTAAAAGCAGCGGTGACTCTTGCCGTCTGCTGAGGTGGAATGAATTATTGTGCCCGTGCCTGCGCCCGTGCCTGTGACATTCATATCCTACCATAGTTCGAATTTCAAACGTCATCTAACATACAAATTATATATCACACAGATGTTTGGATACGTATTTAATTATATCCATAGTATGTGTGACATCTATACATTAAATATACATGGTATATATGGAATATATATGATATATACAATATATATATGGTATATAAATAATGTATATACGTATGCTAATTTACAATACTCATATAATACGTCTTTGTATGTTGCATATGTTGTATGTAATATTAAGCGTCAATGAGAAAGATTTAATGGATATTATTTAAATAAACATATAACATTTATTAAAATGTGTGTGTGTGTATATGTGTGTAAAGTTATACAAAGTTGATACTAACAATTTGTAATAATGGATTTGTATGTGTTTATATTTCTTAAATGAAAGCCAAATTTTCATGAGCTGTTAGAATGTGTGGTGTGAGATTTGAGATAGAATGGAATAGATTAAAACCGTTTAACCATCAATAATCCACATAACGAACTGCTACGTTTCTCACCTCTTACACTACACAACATCATAAATTGAATTCAAGTGCCTTGCGTTCATTCATCATCGTATCATTAGCACATGTGTAAAGTGGATGAATGTGAGTCTGTGTGCGTGTGTGCGTCTGTGTGTGTGTTCATCTGTGTGTGCGTCTGTGTGTGTGTGTGTGAATCTGTGTGTGTGCATCTGTGTGTGTGTGTGTTTGTGTTGCAGACGTTTTTTTGTGAGTGTGTCTGAGTGTCAATAGCAATACAGCTGTAAATGCTTGTAAATATGCACGTTTGCAAATATGTCTGTTCGTTCGTGTGTGTGTGTGTGTGTGTGTGTGTGTGTGTGTGTGTATGTGTGTGTGTGTGTGTGTGTGTGTGTGTGTGTGCATACATGTGTGAGTAAAGTTTGACAGAGTTGATACTAACAATTCTTTTTACTTGCCATTCATATTGTTTTATTTTGATTAATTGCTTGATGTTAAAAAATAATCTCTAACAAAAATTTTTGCTACTTTTTATATTTAGCCTAGGGGCATAAACACCTAGGGGTCATTTGAGATTGGACAACGAGCATTTGGGATCGGGCATCCTACTAGCGAGAGAGTGGATGAATCAGAAATCAGACCTGACGATCTCCAACCAGCCAGCCATCCATCCATACAATGTCCCAATTGTGTAGGTACCTATGGATTCCAGCCAAGTATTCGATTACCACAGATATCTCATGGTCCTTTTACGTAAAGGTTGGGAGAATGGTCAATCAGAGCGACCCTTGACAGAAGTTATTTTGAAGTTCTAAAATGTGCGTTTTTAATGTTTTTATGATGATAATTATTATTAGACTGAGATTTTTAGAGACAGTTGTTTATGAGAATAATTGCATTCTTGTCTTTGTTTTATTTGTAATTAAATTTTCCCATTTTCAAAACGAATTGTTTGTCTTCGAAGTTTAGTTTGTTTTTAAAGACAAAATCTTTTACGATTTCAAACAAACATACCTCTGAAATAAAAAGTAGCCACCTAGGTTATTCATTCAAATGAAAATTTGATGATTTTTTGGCACCGAAAATCTGAACAGCCATCAGAACAACTCCAAGCAAGAACATTAACTATCATCACCATACACAAACAAAGAAGAGCAATAAAAGACCACCCACCATCACATCATCATCACATTTCCATAAGGTAAAAATTTTTAAACAACATTAGAATGTTAGTTTCTAACAATAACGATTATTACAATTCAAAAATTTTCATTCATGGACCAATTCAAATCATTTAGAAACATTAAACAAATTAATTTATGATAATCAACGCTCGCATTCCACTAATTATTCCATGCTTCCAATTAAACATATCTTAAAACGCAGGAACACAAATTCTTCTGACCACATAACTCAAATTTTATATTGGTTCGAATAAGCGGTTTCTATTTTAAAATTTAATTACATATAGAAACTGCAAATAAAAATGTAAAAAATACTTCCTATTTTAGAATATTAATAATTATAATAATAATATTTACGCAATTATAATGTGGGCTGATGTCTAAAATTACACTCACTTCATGCTGAAGCTGAACAAAGCATTGTTGTCTTAGTCGCAATAATAATGGAAAAAATATTTTTATTATTTAATATTATATTATTATTTTATTTTTGTTATTGTTTATATTATTTAAAAAATTATTTCATGCATCTATAATAAACAATTCATTTCTTTTAGGAAATTACTTTATATGTTTGTATATGATATACATGCATACAATATATTATACACTTATATATATATATATATAGGTGTATCATATATTATATATATATATATAGGTGTATCATATATGTGTATATGTATGTGTGTGTATGTATATATGTATGTGTACGTATGTTTAACCATCAATTTACGCATGGATTTTACGCGTGTTTAATATAGTAGGAGAGATGATATATTCAAATGCGAAGAATTGTATGCGCTGACATTACTAAACCTTCAAGAATCTAAGTAAATTCTAAATCTCATGTAACTATAATTTTTATTATTATTTATATTATTGCTTTTATATTTTTAACTAAATAATTTGATCGAGAGAGAAAGGGAGAGGAGGAGAGAGAGAGAGAGTGTGTGTGAAGGAGAGAGTAGGACATAAGTATAAATGGGGAAAAACAGTCTGATGATAAACTTCACTGCGTTTCACGCTAGCGATTTTTTAAAAGCACAGATAACCGTTTAAAAATTAACTTAAATTTAATAATCTTAAAGTTACATTTACACAAAAACCCTTTAAAAGATAATTTTATTTATAGAAATAATAAAATGTCCCTACGGTACGTTAATATTTTTTAAAGGAGATCGTAGATAGGAAAGATGAACGTGCTATATTACCAGGGCTTTCCATGCCTGCCTACCAACACGACACCTACCATTTTTGTTGGAGGTATGTTCAACAATGTTTACGAAGGCAACATCAACATAGTCGACAACAACAGTAACAAATTTGTTACTACAACATCTACTGGTAATAATTACCCTCTACCGACGCTGTTGACCATACCTCCTACAACTTCTTCAATATTTCCTATTTTACAACAGCAAGAACAAAAAATGGAAAATAATAATTGCACCAGCAAACATGTTTTTAAAAATAATTTCATTCATGAAAATATAAACAAAAGCTTGGATTTTAACCAAACTAGCAACAACAACATCGCTGGGATTAATTGCAACGACAAAAACGACGCCAATGTCTGTTCATACGTCATATACCAACCGAGCAAATTATTGTGCAACCAGCAACAATTTCTAACAGAAGACATCAACAAGTCATTTGATGTAAGTTGTCTTCCTCTTTCGTCTCATCATAAGACACATGTTTTGTTTAAATAAACACGTCTTAGAGCTTAAGCATGTTAAACGTGTTAAGATATAAACGTTTATAACTTCGGACATGCAAGTAAATTAAAAACAACCAGATATGCAAATGTTGTAGTCGCGATGAAACATTTTATAAATATACTTCTAGATGTATTTTTAGTTTTTGATTTATCAATTTTCAATTATCATTACGGCAATAAGGTATCTCATGAAATACCAATGTATCAATTACATAATAACATCAAGTAACTGACATTAACTGACAATAATAACTATTTAACATCAGTATAACATAATTATAAAATCTTTGTAACATTGTTATAACATCATTGTAACATCACTTTTTCAATAAAAGTTGTCAGAAGATCATTTCAATATGATCTTCTGACAACTTTTCACTCAATCACTCAAATTGATTCATCAATTTAATTTAAAACGAAGAGACTTAGCACGTAAAAACTCAACAACTGCATATGTGAAGTGAATGTGTGTGCAAACAAAAACAACATCATCAACTATATATAAAACAACAACAAAACAAACAACAAAACAACATTTTCAGACGTTTGCAACGATAAATACATGATAGTATGTAACAACAACAACAACAACTACAACAACTACTACTACTACTACTGCTGCTGCTACTCTACTACTACTACTACTACTACTATTACTATTACTATTACTACAACAACTACTACTACTACTACTACTATTACTATTACTACTTCTATACTACTACTACTACTACTACTACTACTACTACTACTACTACTACTACTACTACTACTACTACTACTACTACTACTACTACTACTATTACTACTACTACTATTACTACTACTACTACTACTATTATTACTACTATACTACAACAACAACAACAACTACTACTACTACTACTACTACTACTACTACTACTACTTCTACAATACATAGTAACATAAAAAACGCATAATGTAAACACATCATTCCTTACAGAAGTTAAGTAAATTTTCCAAATTACGAAACACTGGAGGGGGATATATCAGCAGCCCATCAACAACTTTCTATGGTAAATATCCCATTCACGCACACACACACACATGCATAAAACAAAAACACACAAATTCTCACTCAACCACACGCACACACACATGCATAAAACAAAAACACACAAATTCTCACTCACACACACACACGCATTTACATCAACAAAAACATCAATCAAACATACAAACAAACATCAATCAAACAAACAAACAAACATTAACAAACAAACAAACAAACAGATTCATTACAATGTGAATTAATGCGCCGTATAAACAAACGAAATGAACAAGTAAATGTAGAAAAGGTGAAAATGCGGTTGAGAAAATGTCGTCATGTTGTTGATCAGGCAATTAAATAACATCTTGCCTCAAATTTTGTATCTGAAACCTTGATTATTTTACATTATAAATTCTTGTTTAAATACTTTTAAATTAAAGAAATGTAAAATTTCTTTCTGATGTTTTATGCTGTCAACTCGTATATATTATTGTTACGATTTGTATGGTTCGGGTTTGAAATATATTATAAATGGTAACGTTTGTATTAATTAATAATATTGGAAACAGCATTTAAAAGTTATTAGTTAATTAATGATAATATTTAATAATTTTTAAAAATTATAAAAGTCAATCAAATGAGAACTAAAATTGGATTAGGAAAATTTTAATCGTACCAGAAATGATTAAATAAACTTGTCAATAAATGTCTTTCGAGATTTTGGCTTTTCCAATTCCAGATTTCATCCATCAGAATTTAAATCTTTCAATACTTCTTAATTCATTGTGGTCAACACATAATTTAAGATATACAATCACGGGATAAAATGATGTTTAATTGAAATTTTTCAACCTGCAAACGTTTGGAAATCATTGCTGTTAGGCTGTGAATTCATTTCACGAAGAGAATTAATCCAGTAGCGTTTTAAGAAGATTAAATTTCAGACATTTTAAATTCAAATAGACAAAATTCAAACTTTAATTGAATCAGTATAGTGCATGTGTTCGTACCGTTACATTACATTACACCATATTACATCCAATTACATCACATCACATCACATGCAACAAACATAATACCGGTCATATGTTGATCATCTGTAACTAATACCATATAATTGGATGAACCTGCAAAAAATGTTGATGGCTTAAAGAGAAAAAAAAGATTTAGTTGCCTTGTTTATTTTTTTTACATATTTTTGATTTTTCTTGTTTTAGCTTCAAAGAAAAAAGAAGGCTCTGAGTAAAAATGCTTAATTTTTGTTGTTGAAAATTTGTATGTGTGCATTTTTGTTCTTATCTTTTTAGTCCTAGGTATGTTTATACTTGAGGTTTGGGTTAAGTATAAGTGTATACATACGTGTATGTCTAAATGTGCGTGTTTTTATGAGTGTGTGTGTTTGCGTTTGTTTGTGTTATTAATAATTACATTTTTGTTAATTATACAATTAACATCATTACCACTACCATGTCTATTATTACAATCACTATTACGTCAAAAACACTGACAATGACATCATCATCAACAACAACAACAAGAACAATGACGTCACAACAACAAGAACAATGACGTCACAACAACGAACAAGCAAAAAGAACGATATGTACTTTGAAAAAGAAAGGATGAAATGCTCTTGTTGGAGCAATTTGTTTATCGAAAGATGAGACGCATTGATAAAACATAACCGTAAACATAACATATCCTTATTTAAACATAACATATTTTGATCCATGTATGCATAACATATTGGTCCTTAAATTTAACGGATTTACATATTGCAGAATATATAACAATATGAGGTAACAAAGGCAGCATAACATTCAGTAACATAACATAGCCCTAATAAACATTACAAAACAAATGTGATCTATTCTAATTTGAAAATAACACCATCCTATTTTAAAGCGGCGGCGAATTAAAATGTCCATATTTTAATTCAAACATAATATACCGCGATGTTATTTATTATCTTTGGTTCCTTTACTTCTTATTTTGTTTTTTGATATTTTCGTGTTTATTTTGTTTTTTCATATTATTTTTATTGGCTGATGAGTGCACGGATAATGAACGCAAAATGGAAATAAATGGATGAACGAATAAATGGATGAATGAATGAATGAATGAATGAATGAATGAATGAATGAATGAATGAATGAATGAATGAATGAATGAATGAATGAATGAATGAATGAATGAATGAATGAATGAATGAATGAATGAATGAATGAATGAATGAATGAATGAATGAATGAATGAATGAATGAATGAATGAATGAATGAATGAATGAATGAATGAATGAATAGCTGAACCAGTGAATAAATGAGTAGTTAAAAGTGGACAAATAAACTAATTTAAAAAGCCCGTGATTGGCAAAATCTAGATGATTAAAGATATACAAACCTAAACTGGTAATTAAAATAGTTAAAAATTAATTAACTAATATAATGTAACTAATCGAGTGATAAAACAAATTAATCAAGCAAAAAATACTTTTTCTATTTAGGTAATCAATCAATCAAACTATTAATTAATTAATTAGTTTAATTAATTAAATTAATATTTCCCTGTACATGCATATCTTCAATCTCCCTCTATTCCGTTCGCATCGCTCCATCAAAATAATTTCACCTACTGTTAAACCAGGAGAGGAAGTCTTCATTGAATGGGTGGTTGTGAATGTTGCTATGACAACTTCATCAACAACCGTGTGTGTGTGCGTGCATGCGTGTGTGTATGTGTGTGTCTGTGTGTCTTTGTGAGTGAGTGTGTGTGTATGTGTAGAGTTTGGGTGTGTGTGTATGTTTATCTGTGGTGTTTAGATGTGAGTTTGTGTGTGTGTATATAATGCGCGATTTATCTATAAACATTAACGAACAACTCTTGCAAATCATTATTTCCAGATATTATACCAACTTAACTCACCAAATAAGCAACGCCACTACCACCATCACCACCACCACCAACAACAACAAAAGCAACATCTTCAACTACACCAACGACAACAGAAGCAACACATACGATGCTACGTCTGCAACCTCTCCTTGAACTCTCAACTCCAAGCCAGCCAGCATTTCAGCGGAAAGAGTCACCACAGGAAGGTGAGAAAGATGAGATATGAAGGTGAAAAGTTGAAGAGGACGAGAGATAACGAAGGAAAGCAGATTGATCTGCGTCTAGATAACGTTAAAAAGCTGTGTGATATTGATATTAGCATTAGTAGTAACGCTAATTGTATTAGTAACAGCAGCAGTAACATTACGAGTAGTAATGGTAGTGGTGGATGTCGCATTAGCAGCAGCTTCGGTAGTATTAGTAACAACTTTGGTAGTGTTAGTAACAGCTATATTGAGAGCAACAATATTTTCACTGAAAATAATAACAGTTGTCAAAACATAGATCGTGAATTCAATCAAAATTTGAACAACGATAGCGAGACAGACAACACCAACGATGTTAACAGCAAAAACAATAACAACAACATTAACGGAAATGACAACAATAACATCAACGAAATCAGCAACACCACAACAAACATCAACAACACTGACGCCGACATCACAACTTCCAACACAGACAACAACAACATCAAACATGTCATCAATGACATCAGCGATGACATCTTCAACTACAGCAACACTCAGAAACGTGACAACAAATGCATTGTGAAACCGGATAGCCGAATCAATGGCAACAATAAAACAGATCATGAGGAATTTATTGACGGGAGTGACTGTGCTGGTATGAAATCCGAGATAAACTTTAACTCTAAAATGTCGACAAAAACGCTGGGTTTGTATGTAATGTAATATTAAGTACTTGTGCACTTATATGTAATGTAATATTAAGTACTTGTGCACTTATATGTAATGTAATATTAAGTACTTGTGCACTTAAGTGTAATGTAATATTAAGTACATGTACCGTGCACTCTTAAAATATATTGTAATAATAACTCCACATACATTAATATGTAATGTAATAAAAAGTACATATGAACAGGTTATGTAATAATAAGTGCATATGCAGCTATATGTAATGTAGTATTAAGTACATGTGCACTTATATGAAGTTTATTAATAAGTAATTGCACAAGTGTGAGTATTGTACTCATATCTATAGGTAATTCTCAGTTAAAACTATTTATCTATCTGTTTGATTGTATGTGTTTGTGTGTCTGTATCGTTTACTGTTTATCTATTTATATACCATAGTATCATCATGTTTGTTATGTCAATTTTTTTCTTTATTGTTTCTTAATTCAGATACAAATTAGCAAGTACGAATTACGAGAATGATTCTGTTTTAGAGTTGCGTAAAATATTATATTCTGACTAATTTTGCGAAAAAAGAATTTCCTCATTTTAGGTCTGATTATTTTTGGTCTGATTATTATTTTTATTCATCTTTCATCATTGCTGGTGTAGCTGCAAGCATTATCAGTCATCATTTTTTTCGCCATCACCACCACCATAAGAAACATCATCATTAACTTCATTATTTTATTCAAAATTAGCATCGTTTCTCTTTCATCTTCTTCTTCATCATCGTCACCGCCATCATCGTCATTATCATCAATATTATCATCAGCACATTATTTTTAGTCATCATTAGCTTCACAATTATCCTCACGACAACCACAATCATCGTTATCGTCAATATGTAACGTTATCACCATCAAAATCATCATCATCATTAACATCACTACCATCATCATCATCATCATTTTTCTCATGACGTAATTATGATGACAAGCAAACATCTAGTGGATGCGCCGTGAGCCATATCTCTTGATTAGTATTTGCCCAGACATCCGACGTTCTAATGAACAAAGATACAACAGATTAATGACGTCAAATGTAAACACAAACAAACAAACACACACACACACATACACGCACAAATAAACAAACAAACATACACGCACAAACGCAAACGCATATTAACGTACATATTCATATATACGTACACACACAAACATGCAAAACTGCTTTAAGCCTTCAACAGTAAATAATGATTGGTGTGTGTGTTTGTGTGTGTGTGTGTGTGTGTGTGTGTGTGTGTGTGTGTGTGTGTGTGTGTGTGTGTGTGGATGGGTTTTTGTTAAATGTTGAATTTTCAAGCCGCATTGAAGTGTTTTTAAGAGCATGCTTGTTGATATTATAGAATTTTATTAATTTACAGTACCCGCTTTAGTAAAGGAATATAATAAATTAAGCTAGGAAGAAAAGAAATTTAAGGTGGATAATATAAGGCAATAAGTGGTGATTAGAAAGAAATAGGGATGGGGAAAAAGAGAGAAAGCGTGAGAGAGAGAAAAGTAATTCTTATAATTGAATCAGTCCCAACTTGTTCACATTAAAGTTGGAGACAATAAATCAACATTTCAACAACTTTTTCTTGTATAAATTTGTTCAAATGGAAATTAATTAATTAATTAACTAATTAATTAATTGATACAGTATGCTTTGATGAACTGACTCAACACTACCTGTCAATCTATATATTAGGTTAACACAAAAGATTCATGATTTGCTATAATTATTAATTTAATAAAATTTAAGTTGGCGATATTATTTAGATTAATATGTTTGTAGTTCGTAAAACGAACTACAAACATATTAACGCCAAACATTCCGTAGAATTTATAGAATATTGTAAATATATATATATATATATATATATTTCATTACTAACCAGTTGACAAGTATGCAAAGGTTTGTAACCAGCAATGCTCTTGTCATAGTGAAAAAAAAACACATAAAAAGCATTCTATATCGGTTTGTTGTTAGTTTCATACTTCTCAACGATAAAATGTTACAAACTTTTACAGGTAAAAGAAGGGAGGAAAGGATATGCCAACCAGATTCAAGTAGCAATTCTACCTGCTGATTCGTCGTGACCACTGTCATCGTTTTCGTCATCATTGACATCATCGTCGTCACTATTGCCGTCATTTCATCATCGTGTAGTTATTGAACCCACCAGCAGCTCGTGGCAGAAACGCCAAGCTTCTCACAACAATATATTTTTTCTAGTTCTTATATGAAATATAGTTGTCTGTAAATAAACTAGTGACTTTCGTTATGAAAGTTTTATTAGTTAATAAAATTTTCAAAATCCAGAGAATGCTTAGACAAACGATTCAACAATTTATCTATTGTATAGAAACTTGATAACCCATTCAAGTTTGTGAATGTTGAAGAATGCAATGATATTTACGTGACTGGTCAGTTTCCATTTCAAATAAATCTTTATTTACTTCGTCCACGTTAAACGTAGAAAATATTGACGTAAAGCGTGTCACGACCAGTGAGTAGTGATAAGTAGTGGCGGATCTAGACAACTTTGATGGGGGGGGCCAAATATTGAAAATGTTTAAATTTTTATGGGGGGGGCAAGATTTGTGATAGTGTAGCTGACGACTTTTTCTATCACGTTCAATTTTTGGTCGATTTTACTCACAAAACGATCTTTTTTTGATTTATATTAAAAAAACTGCTCAAAACGGGAGGACCAAACCTCCCCGGTCCTCCTAGATCCGCCACTGGTGTTAAGTGAAGGACGACACGCGCCTTCATTTGACCACTTGAACATTCAGCACCGTTGTAATTTCGAATCTTGTAAAGGGAGATTATAACTTCTAAAAGGCATTTCCTTACTAGTAGAAAAACAATACTTACATGTTTTTTATTTTACATTAACGACTGCAACGATAACGGTAATAATAATAATAATAATAATAAAGCAGCAACAATAAAACAATAATAATAATAATAAATGAACATATCTCTAAATATTATTACATTATCCACAAGTTATTCCTAAAGAGTTCGTCGAACGATGAACAGTTTTTGTGTGACGGTTTCGGAAACGACGGTAAAATTATGACCGGTCCTACAAAGTTAATGACAACCGAACAAAAATATAACGGTAAAAACAGAAACATTCGAATTTTCTGACAAAATCTTACCTCTGATACATTATGTTGATTAACTGAATCAGTTGAAATTCAATTAATCACTCGTCTGCTTTGTAGTAGTAATAATAATAATAAGATTATTATTAAAATAATCTAGTCTAAATAATTGGAGACAATCGTAAATCATTAGTAGCGGTAAATTCAAGTGATAATAATAATAATTGTTATCATGTAATGTCCAACCCATAATAAAAAAATAATAACAAAAAATAATAAATAGATAAATTGTAACTATGCCGATAAGAACAAAAGATAGCAAGTTAAGAGAATAGGCCTACCATTTCAAATAACATGAAATGAAAATTGTAATGAAAACTTTAATTAAATGACTTTAAATCGGTAACTTATATATGAAATAACTACCATATATATCTGTATTGATGTGTGTGTGTGTGTGTGTGTTTGAGTGTAATGAATACATGCAGAGGCCCAGGCGCACCAACACACACACAGACTACGAAGAAACACACGCACGCACACACATAAAGGTATGTGTCTAACTATGTCCCCTCAGAGAAATTGATTTTTTTAGTGCCATCAATAGTGCTAAAAATATTTATTTAACCCATGCCTAGTGATTTAAGTTTAAGGTCAATTTCTTTTGGTGAACTCAACTACTAATAACTAACATTATTTATTATTGTAAACATAATAACTATAATAATAATAATAGTAATAATAATAATAAACAATAATAGTAGCAATTAATAATAATAATGGTTGATGTATTTTAATTTTATAGCCGCCAACTAATGAGAGAGAGAGAGAGAAAGAGAGAGAGAGCAATAAGATTAAATTTTTAATTTATTTAAACAATGATGAATAAACGTATCTTCATGTTTATTATCATATTATCCATGAGTTATAAAAATATAATTAAACAAGTTGATAAAAACTGAAAATATAACATCGTAAGAAAAAATTATTTTAAAGAAGTTATACCAGCTTTCAATATTTACAGATTCTACAGCAACGCCGGTGATTGACTGCTTGACCGACCAACCGACCAATCAAATAAGCCAATCAATCCGTCAATGAATGAATGAATGATCTGATTGGTTGAACAGAGTACGCATTCAATAAACAATCATCATTAAATGATGATTTTCTAGCAAAAATTTGGAAAGAGACCCTGGATGAATTGTTAATTTACTTATAAATATATATATATATATATATATATATATATATTAATGTAAATTCTTTTATAAAGGCATTTATTCATCTTAACTAAGAGGGGAGTGTGATCAATAGTAACCAATCAATTACATTACGTTACATTACGTTAATTACAAACATCACGTGACACGTGTACATGCACATCTCCACAGGAAATAAATAGAAAAAAAACAACTGCTGGAGAGTGTATGAATCGTCTTTATCGTTAGAATGTACAATGTCATATACAGAAAATCGCTATGAATAAAAATAAATTTCATAATTAGTATATACAGTGTACCTTACTTACAAAATACAAATAAACCATACAATACACACACACAGATACAGATATATATATATATATATAAACAGTTGTTTAGTAAAGTTACAACTTTTCAGCGTTGCTTAATTTAATTTTGTGACTGATGTTGTGACCTTCCCAAACAACTGTATATCTGATAGCCTGAATCCTGAATAAACATATATATAAATATATATATATATGTGTGTGTATGTATATGAGACTGGTACAATCACAAAAAACTTAGTGTGTGTTTACGTGTTGTGGAAAGAATAGGAAACAGATAATAATAATAATAATAATAATAATAATAATAATAATAATAATAATAATAATAATAGTAATCAGCCACAACACAAACATGGCGGCAATGAGAATGTCGAATATAGTGAATGCATTAACGTAATAAATTAAATTCCAACTAATTGAAAAATAATTTATTTTCTAGTAATTAATAATCAATTACAGTAATTTTTCAGTAACCAATAATCATACATCAATTACATTACGTTACATCACGCTACGTTAATTACGAACATCACGTGACACGTGTACAAGTACATGCACATCATTGACATTGGTATTATTAATATCAATCGTAAATTAATATTAACTTTGTAATTAATATTTTAATTAACGATTCTTTTGACGAATCAGCATGGGCAAACTGATTGGATTCAACTTGAATTGGTGGTTATTGCTACCCCTGCTGAATTATCCAATTTTATTTTTTTTGCCTCTGGTTCACTGGTGGATCTGTCATTAAGCATATTATTATTATTATTGTTGTTGTTGTTGTGATAACTAATGTTGTTATTGTTGTTGTTATTTACAAAGTTTTTGCTGCAATTGTTGACAACAGTTAGTGATGAAGATTGTAGCTGATTGTTTTGTTCCGTGGAGTTGATACCCGAAGTTGATGATGATGATGATGTCGCTGTTAGTGGCTGAAAACTAACATTACTGACAACACCACCTCTGCCTGCATTGCCACTGTTACCGTTGCCAGTGCAGTTACTAACATTATTAGTTGCAACAACATCGCTTGTAGTACTACAGTTATTATTTGTGGAGCTAGTGTTAAGTGGTGAAGAACTACTGGCAACATTAGCAGATGCACTTGGAGAAGCAGTAGCAGCAGAAGCAGCAGCAGCAGCATTAGAAGCACTCGAGTTTCCAGATGATGACAATCTCTGTTTCATAGATCTCAAAATTGGTCTTCCAATGCCAGCAAAATTTTCATAAAGTTTCTCCATCTCCAGACGTTCTTGCTCCGTTGTCTTCTTTTCAACAGGCTTGCTAGGGATTGTATTGACGACGTGACTCGTTGACTGCGACACTCTCCTCTTAGGGGCTGTCATGTTGCCATGACGTTGCTGCTGCTGCTGCTGTGGTTGTGGCTGGTTGCCTGTTAACTTTTTGTACTTATTATTATAATTGGCATTCGTAGATGATGATGAGGAGGAGGAGGAGAAGGAGGTGGAAGCCGATGACTGTTGATTCTGCTGCTGCTGCTGATGATGTTGTACAGATGATGATTCTTCTCTCTTGAGATGGCGAGCGGCCGAGAGAGCCTGTAAAACAGTATGCAAAACATCCTTGTTGGCAAATATGTCTCGATGGTACAACACCATGTGTTCCTGGAAGTTTGGGCCGTTTTTCAAAGCTTTGTTGCAAATGTAGCACTGTTTCACCTGTAAAAAAATAGGATGGCAATATTATATTGAACAATATCCAACGTATAACTTTAAAAGACACCATAAGTCATTAACATCAAAAATTATGTCTGATCACAAATTTGTCATAAAATTTTATACAATAATAATAAAAACTATAACAGTCATGAACTCGTGAAAAATTAAAAGTTATCTGAACATATCAATCATAAAGCTAAAAACTACCTGGTACATATCCAACAATGTGATGTTGTGTCTTGTGCTCATATGATTCAGTGGATTGATGGTCTGACTCTCCCCACAGATGTGGCAAATAGGTGGGGTGCGACCTTGATTTCCTGGAGTTGATGAGGTCATTCCTGAAATTTTTACAAGAACAATGATAAAAATTTGATGGTATGAAAGTTAAATTCAACAAGATTAAAACTATTTTTGAACCAGGTGCCTGACATGTGGATGGAAAGATAATTTCTACCAAGTCATTAAGAACATTAAAATGAGCCAGACGATTTGTGATGGTCATTGAACAAACCAAAGTTTTAATAACATCACTTTTCCACCAATATTATATCAATGCACATCATCAAAAGCATAAAGTTTTCATAATTTCATCGCCACCACAGCCATTATCATCATTGCAATCTGACCTGTATTGATCCTGTGAACAATTGTAGCATGTTTGGCCAGTCCCTGATATGTCCAGAATCTTGAAGGGCACCTGTCACAGGACATGGTTGGCTCTGTAGATCCTCTGGCCGTGTTCAACTTTACTTTGTGCATTACCTGGTTCATTGTGTCAGTTTTGAAGTCATCTAATAAATAAAAGCAAAATGCCCTTAATCATAATTTAGAATTGTTGAACTTGACTAATTAATTAAATAATCTACACAATCTACAGAGAATCGTTTTCAATACATTTCGTTTGGTAACAGTATTTATATAAAAATAAAAGCAATTTGTAAATATAAAATAGCAACTGAAATAAAGACCTGATCATCAAATCAATAACTTATTTCAGAAAAAACAAATCGCAGATAAACGACATCCATCATTTCTCTCTCCTTCTCACTGACAACAAACCTGCAGATGGTTGAGTAATGATGCCCGACTACCCACGCTGGCACTACAGATTTCGCACGTCTCCATCTGGCCTGCATTCGCAGCTGATGTCATTTTCATTACACCTCGTCCATCTTTCACCATCTGTTGCTGCTGCTGTGACAGTACCGTTCCTCCGCTCACTGTGCCTGGTCAGTGAGAAAATTTTTTGACAATCGATGCTCATTAAATAAAATAGTGCATTAACCGAATAGTGACTAATTTTTATTTTATTGCTGTCTTGATGTATTTTGAGAACTTTTCAAACTAAAAACAAAAATGTGTGTTAGTTTTTATATGATACTTGAACAAAATTCAACTGAAAATTTCATGCCACAGTTAAAAAAACAATTGAATTTAAAAGGTATATAAAATTGAATGAATTGAAAATATAAATACACCAAGTTATATCATTCACCACTCTAAAATAAAATAATTGATAGCAACAAGAGACAATTATAAATCAACATGTAAGCACATCCTCAAATGTAAAATATTGATAAATTTATTTGCAAGAGACCAAACATTCTAATCACCTGACACTTGGTTGGAGTACATGGATGATGCAGACGACACCATTCCTCTTCCAATTGTTCCAGCAGCACCATAAACTCCTCCTCCAGCTTGTTGCTGCTGCTGCTGTTGAGAATAATAATTATTCTGCTGGTGATAATTGGAATAGTTGTTGTTGTTGTTGAGATAGCTGGAGTAGCGTTGTGTACTGGCAGCATAAGTTGATGGCTGGATGAATCTCCTCTTCAATGGGATGTCAGTATCAGCAGGAAGTGGCTGCAGGTTGCAGGCCAAGACAAACCTTTTTGAACATGTCAACATGTGCGAGTCGATCTTCAATTGATTTTTCGCTTCATATGAGCAAAAGGAGCATCTATAGGGAGACATCTGCAAAATGAAATTTTAAAATTGAAATACTATATTGTGATAATTAGTTTTAATTTTTATGGTGACAACTTTGAACCAAAAAATTTGGTTTCCCTGTAGTTTACTCTCAGTTTCATCTGTAAGCTCAACATTGAAAATTGAAAAGGTGAAATAATAATCAATGTTATTAATATTTCTACTCTTCTTTAATTTTATTAACAGACACATTTTTACCAAGCTACACACATTATAACTATGAAATGAAGTTTTAAAATTGTTTACAGTCCACCAGCAACTAAACTTCTTAAGTAAGACTATTTTCTTTTAAAGTTTCAATGACAATTGCAAAAGCACAAACCTTTTTCCTCAATCTGCCAATCATATCGTGATCAGTTTTCATGTGAGAGATGTAATGAGATGGCCAGCGAGATTTGAACTCCCTACAACAGCAGCAGACATGGGTTGATCCACTCTCCATTCTTCCATATTCCTGATGAAGTCGCATGACATTTAATGACTCTGTCGCAAACACTCGACATTTGCACCTGGTGACATACTGCTTCAGACTGTATGGAGCATTTCTAATTTCCTGTTTGGAATAAAATTCTTCCAATTTGGATAGCTGTTCCTTCTCTCTTTCATTCAATTTATTCTGGGCATCTTTAGATAGTTGTATTTCAACCAGGTCTTTGTAGACATGTTGTCGAACTAATTCAACTCCTAAATCGTGCAGTAATCTAGCAAATGCAGTCATAGAAGTGTCCCCAATATTGGGTCCTGATGAGGATGATGGGGAATTATTAATATCATTTTTGTTTGGTGTGATACTCTGTGTTTTGTTCTGTTGCCTAAATGACTGATCGTATGACTGGTTAGATTTAAATTTAGAATTAGATGGAGATGTTGATGACATATTTGGAGCTTTTGTATTTTCATCACTTTCAATGATGATCACATCACCGGATTCACTATCATCTTCTTTTTCGCTGGTTACTTCTTTTTTATTATCATTGATTTTTAAATCAACATTCTCTGATTTAACATCGGGGGTTAAGATTTCATCTTTAATTTTTTGTTTAACCCCATCTAATTCAGTTCGATCATTGGATGAATTGTCAACTGAAGTTTTTGCTGTATCACTATTTTCAGTTTTAACCTCACAATCTGATTTTGAAATATCAGGCTTTGATGACAGGGTTTCATCAATTTCCATTTCATTTTTCTCTCCATCGACTTGCTTAAAGCCATTATGTGATGAGAAAGTTTTAGCTTTACTTAAATCTTTTGTTTTAGAAGTATCCATATTTTCGGTGTTAATTTCAGAATTTTTCAATTGATTTTTACATTTTGTTTCGTTGTTAACTCCATTAATTTTTGTTTCTTCTCCTGGTGTGGAATGATTTTCAGTAATTTTTGAATCCTGTCTTACAACTTCGGAGTTAATATTTTCCTTTGTGTCCGAATTTTTGGGACTGTGACTTTCTTTTAACTTCATTTCAACGGTGGGTTCTTGCTCGTGTGTTGAATTTGACTCTGTAGCAACACTGCTCATATTTGGAAAATTTATCTGAAATGGTAAATAAATACAATTAAAAAACTGAATTTTCACGCCGCCATTCTTAGATGTTAGATTTCATTGATTGAAACAAAGAAGTTCACTAAACAAATTTAAAATATCCCGGTCGAACGTTATGTCAGTAATATACGCCAGTCACGTTGAATCCATTATTAAAAATAAAAACAAACTAGAACGGTATCCATTTATAATATCGGCCGGCCTAGCGATTAGTGAATTAGGAAATAAGAATTTGTCGAACGAGCTTATTAAACGAAAAAGAAAAATATAGTGCAACGAAAATAGGAAGAAAACTTACCTTTATTAGAGATCAATTCAACTGGAAACAAGACGAAAATAATTAATCATAGAAAAACTAAGATGGCCGACACTAATGAATATTTCGACGAGTTGATTTAAACTCACAAGAGAACAACAAGAAGACAGCAGGCAGGCATAGGGAGAGGCATGCAGGCATAGAGAACAACACATACAGAATAACGTGCGTGTACCAGCAACATACACAACATATAGAAGAGGGAGAGACATATATAGACATACAGTGCAATATATAAACACGCTTCGCAGTTGTGAGTGTGTGTTCTTGTGTGTGTGCCCGTGCGTGCGTGCGTACGAGTGTGTTTGCCTACCTACTATACACAGCTTGTATGTATTGCTTGTATGTGTAGCTATCCTTTGTATGCTCTGCATGAATTTTATAGCGCGCTTCCTCACATAATGGCTGTGCTACACGCACGCACGCATGCACACTCACACGCGCATTATTAATGCACGGGTTCACAGACACACAAACACATACGCTGTAGAAACTGGTACACAGGCATACACACACAGCTACGAGTGTGTTCATGAATATGCTGTGCTCGTGTTCACAAAGCGTCTACCACACTCGGTGTACGCGTGCGTGTACACTCAGATGTGTTCGTGTACACTCAAACGTGTACATGCATCGGTACATACACACCCCGACCAGCCACACTCGAAATAAACCATCACAAAACCCTAAAAGTTAGGAAGCCAAGGGGTGAAAAACTTTGGAGAGACAGTGGTCATAAATCTTAGGAGAAGGAGCATCTCGACAATGAGTTGACATCGTTTCGCGCGTAGATTTAAATTCATCGTTCCGTAACATTGGTCCGTAACGTATCGTACCTGCCAAAAGTTTGCTAACTTCAAAGTCGTTCGTTTATTACATCTGCATCCGAAGCGAGAATATTGTGTTGTTATTAGTGAGAGTATCGTGTGCTGTATGACTGGACGTGTATGTATGTACGTACGAAGGCAACACATGAGAGTAATATAGTTTACATCAATGAGGATGAACAAATGTTAAAAGGGGTGTGATTCTGATTTAATATAGTCACATAGTGTGGTCTCCTCATATAAATCTTTATAAACTGTATGTAAACGTACCCACTTTTGTACATGAGACAAAGTATACGTACACAATTAAGTATACATGCAAAGATGATCGCGTTTAGTATGCGAAATTTTGTATTTCTGACTCGTAATACATGCACGCACCAAACTCGCTCGTGTAAAAAGATGGTATATGTGTATACAAATTATTATAACAAATTAATGCTATTATAATACTGCTTGTATCAGCAATAAATTACATGTATGTATGTATATATATATATATATATATATATATATATATATATAATATCATCTATTAACAGCTATTACCGTTGCATTAGCATTAAAAATCAATTATTTATTATTTCAATAGTAAATAATTATATATATATATATATATATACATGCATATATATACATAAATACTTGTATATATATTGCTAACATTCAACATGCACATCTACATACTTATATATTGTACACAAACACGTGGTATAAACATTATACGTATACACTCTGTACTGTATTGGATTAGACCGTATACACATTACATCATCTCATCATGCATTATGTTAATTTGTATGACATAAACATCATTGGTATATATATATATATATATAGTAGTGTATAATGTATGTAAGTGATATATATATATATATATATATATATATATATATATATATAATTCACTACCCTTGATGTGTATATATATATAATATATATATAGTGTGTGTGTGTGTGTGTGTGTGTGTGTGTGTGTGTGTGTGTGTGTGTGTGTGTGTGTGTGTGTGTGGGCNGTGGGTAGTAGGAATATTCATAAAATATTATGATTTATAAAAAAAAGCATCGTGCGTACTTGTAGGTGTGCAATTAAATGAATGAAAATTTAAATTCAAAATTTTAAATTCAATAGAAATATATGTTTGTATAATTTCATGCATAAATATATATTCATATAATATTTATATATATATTATATATTTATTTATACATATATATATATATTTATATATAATGAATATATATATATATATATATATATATATATATATATATATATATATATATATATATATATGATACACCATTACTTACATTATAAAGTAAGATTGAATCTCTGTGTAAAGGAGTTCATAATGATACAAGAGGATTTTATGCTTATAAGAAACACTTAAAATTTTCGGTGTTTGTACGCGCGCACATGTGTATATTTTTACTTTTGTATGTACATCAATACGTGCATAAACACATGCATACAGACACGCATACAAACATTCATTCATACATACCTACGGACAAATATTCACACATACACATTTACATACATTGAAGTATGGTTTGTTTGTGTGCATTGAGCGGTTTGAGAAAAACAAGCACACATATTTGCAATGCAACATCGTACAAATGAAAGATTTTATTTTTTGTGTACGTTTTGGTGTACAACATGCATACATACGTACATACATACAACGTTTTATCCTTGTTTTGTGTATTTTTCCAGAGACTTTTCATCCAGCCAATGTGCAATTGTATCTTTCATACATTTGTACGTTCAAACATCTACATTATATAATTATTTTTTATGTACATATATCTTTTTATAGACTGTCATGCATGCATACATTCATGCATACAATGCTTTTTACATTTCGTTAGTATTTTTAAAGTATATATACATATATATATATATATATATATATATATATATATATATATAATATAAACGTGTGTAGAATGCATGTGCTTGTGGTAATGTTTTATAATAACGCCTTCGTTATCATCGTCACATCACGTTGCACGAATGTTTGTTAAGTTGTTTCTAATGACTCACATACAATACTATAATACATAAACATACGTATGTATGTATGTATGTATAAATATATTTATACATACGTACACTTATTTGCTGATATACATATGTTTTAAATATATGTATATCATGATACACTTATATATCCATTTTAAAGATACAAATAAGGCTATTGCAGACGCTAAAAAATGATCCAAAAAAGGTAAAATTTGAAATCAGCATGTGCGAGAAAGTGAAATTAAATGAATATTTTTAAAACTTCATTTAATAAAAGATCATTAAAAATTTGATCGCGGCTTTTAAAGCGATTGAATGAATATAAACAGTCAGTCAATAAATATGTGACAACCTGCTAAAAAGCTACGGCAGAAAGTTCGTGAACATTGAACGCAACAGTGCTTAACATTTGACATGTAATGAACGACAATGGGGACGATATAAATCTTTCAACTACCTCCTACTTCTTATCCTGCTAGCCTACCTGACAACGTGCGTTCACTTGGCAACATGTACTACTCTCCCTGTTATTGTCCTAATTAAAATGTCAAGCATAACAGCGTTTAAAGTTCAGTTTTTAAATCATACAGGTTATATCATGCATGAAAATAAGTGATTGACACGTTTCAAGTCAATACATAGTTCATTGTTAACACGTCAATTTAATATGAAAATGAAGGTCATAGAGATCAACATATCAGCGAAACAACAGCGCTATCAAACTCAACGTCACAGTAACACGAAAATATATGCCAATCGAACAAACGTCGTCTGACCAGGAAAGCAAAATTGAAAGTTCGGTTACATGTTATTCATCTTCGTCGGTTCATCAGATCACACGACGGAGGTATTGATTGAGCAGCATGTTTCAAAAATGAACATTGGCAGAATACGAATAACAGATTAATGATGACATGATGTTTGAAGATAGCAAATTGTTGTAGGTAGGTATGTCATAAATAAGCGGAAATACGCGAGGACGCATGTTTGCGAACAGTTTATTTGAAAAAGTGTCTTTAAATAAATAATCAGGAATAAGCCAAAAACTAACAAGATCGCATGTACACACACACACACACACATATATATATATATATATATATATATATGTATATATATATATATATATATATATCCACACAATGCCATGTACCGTGTAAAGTCCGCGTAGATAAAAATAATACCTAAAAAATACTAAATGTACAAAAATAATAACGAGAGTACAAACAAACATACATACATACACACACACACACAGAGAAACACATACACACACGCGCACCAAATAGAAAATGTATGCATACAAACAAAAACAGATAACAGCAACAGCAGTAGCATTAATATTACATGCACAAACCTAAGCTGAATCTCACGCACTTTCTCACACGCACACAAATGCAAACACATGCACACAGAAGCACGCACACACACGTGCAAACAACGTACATTCTCTAACCAGCTATTCAGTCGATAAAAACACAGACAAATACCTAGGCTTACAAGCACACATACTCACACGCACATAAACAGATGCGTGCGTGCCTAAAACAAGCAGCAACAACAATACAAAGAGAATAAAATCACACGTACACACAAACACGTACATACCAAACAAACATGATGTTTTTGTTTGTCTGTGTACATAGAAACACGTACAGAGACACACTACTGTATAAAAGACCCATTATAAATAAGTACTTGCGCCAGTATTACTAAACAGAACAGAGAGTTACTAACACATACTTACACAAATATCGACACGCACACACATGCAAGCAAACACACATACATGCACACGAGAGCAACTGCTGTTGTTGCAACAAAGCAACCCACACATACAAATACATATAGATACACCCATTTATACATATACTCTTAAATGAATACATATAGACATACAAACGTAAATACATATCCACACAATGCCATACATATAACAAGACGTACATATATTCACATTCACCTATAAATACGCACTCACACATTAACATATACACGCAAGCACAATCCATACATGTGTACAGACACAAACACATACATATAGACAGAAAAACACACATAGTAATACAATACTTATCTACCAACTTGCATACATACATAAGAAACATATGTAGGAAGTAATACACACACATACCTAGGCACATATCATCATACAAACAAAACCCATCGGCAAACATACAAAATGGCTCCTCAGTGAACCAGTTTCTAGCACAGTCAAGGCGTTCTTAGAAAACAGAACATTTCGTGAAACAGCGGCAAAAAATCGTTAATTTACGATTTAACGACGTCGATGACGAATGGATAATAAATTGTAAATTGATGGTAGGTAGATCGTCCGACAGCACGCCTATATTTTTGAGAACTTTACATTCAAGAGCGCTAAACTATGAACACCACGTGAATAAATTCGTAATGAAATTTCTTCTGACCATGATATGATGTCAATTCCCATTAACAAATACGATTTTAAAAATAATCGTGACAAAATGGCAAAAGTAAAGCAAGGCACACATCTGAATTAATATATTTGCCGATTTACCGAAGCCTATAATAGCGAAAAGCAAAAAAAATAAAAATTGCGACTGATAGAATATATGCAAAAGTAAGAGTAGGTCGGAAAGTTTAAAATCGTTAACCGTTCAAATACTCGTCAACACAACTTAAACAATCCATGTTATGACACATATTACGCATAAATAACTTTCATTTAAAAAAACGAAAACAACACAATGCAGAGTGTCACGAAATAGTTCTGGACTGTTAACCTGTGGACTTTGAAGGAAAGCAAGCGGAGGAGCTCTGGTGAAGATCAACGCTGAAGTCCGAGCAGTTTTTGAGCTTCAGCCTTCCTATAAATTTTTCATGCCAATATGTGCGTGCATAATTATATGTACATATTAATTTAGCCACCTTAAGAGAATTTAAAAATTTTTTAATATTCAAAATATTGTTTTTTGTTTGTTAAATTAAGATATGAATTGAGCAGGCAAATGATTATGAAATCTCCAGCTCCTGTTTGGGCCCGCTCAAAACACATAACTATCACAAACACTATTATTATAAAAAGATCACTGACGCCACTAAGTTAGCCAAGTTAATTTCTATCCGCTCAGATAACGGAAAAAATTGAAGCAACCACATGCATGTTTGTATTTATTTATAAGAGAATGTTACATGTAAATAATTTTATACAAACATAAAAGACGGTAGTCGGTCAAAATTAATGTGAAAAATAAATTCAATGTGCAATATTAAATCAAAATTCGTCATTTTGACAGCTTAGCATGAACAATGTTATGATGAAAATCATAAAATTGTAAAAAAAATGCCAAAATATGTCCCTGCTACAAACAATTATGAAAGTTCCAACAGTTAACCATCATTGTACTATGTATCATGCTTTCAAACAAATCATACAAACATTCGTTTGGAGGTTGACAAGTAGGTCTGTTCATTTAGTCTATCTGGACCAATACATCCGTCTGACGCCATTGGTTAGGATCTCGGTGATTAGTGACACAATGAATAATCTAGAGACTGGAGAACTAATACGACGATGCAGGTTAATTCTAAAATTAAAATAAAATAAAATTAGGCGCAAAAACTTTGCAGCTAGCTATATATTTCATGAGCCTCCTATGCGGTTTAAATATAAAAAAATCTGTGAATGTAGTTGACGACAATGAAATGTAGGAACTGTAGGTTAATGCGAGATGATTTCATTGAATGTACAGCTGAGCCAGTTGAGCAAATGACATTTGATTTACACAATAATGATTCAATATTTTAAAATTCATTTAAAGGCAAGACATTAAGATTATATTCATTTAATAAAAATAAATAAATGAAGGAAAAATAAATGTAATAAAAATAAAACGTAATACAATACGCAACTATACGTTATACATATATACCTTAATATAAAATCTAACGACGTACAGACCGAACATATTATGTACTTCAATCGTTATAATACGAATATTATAACTATAATTAATACCACTTGTTTACATATACGCAATAATAATTTGTAAATAAATACATAACGAAAAATTATGACGCACAAACACAGACATACGCACGCACAAATACACACGCACATATATTTAATTTAACATTATTTACATAATTCTTATAATTTATAGAGTAAAAATGGTAATTTTGTGATTTTCATTATTATTATTATCCAATACTATCACGTCAGCGGCTATCATCATTTAATTAAACCACATCCTCCTCAGGTGAACACTCAATGTTTATTAATGTTGATAGTTGTCCAGAGTAAAAAGGAGCACATTAATAATAACATTAATGGCCGTATCATTCAGTCATCATTCAGTCATCAGTTATAACTACTTTGGCCCTTGGTTAAGCAAAACAGTGCACTCATAATGGCGATATAGTGGCGATTACAAAATCTGTAAAATAGTGAAGGGAAATGATGATGCTGGCCACCAACCTAAGGTCTGACGATAATGATGACGACGCGGAAACAACGTTTAATACACGAAGACAACATGTATAGCGTATGTACAGACAAAAAGAACTGCAAACCATATTAAGAGTGGCTTCTGCCATAAACGGCATCTACTAGAGATGACTAAACGTGCTACTTAACAGGCTCTATTTATTGTTAAGTTCAAACCTCTTCCAAAAAAACAGGGTCAGTGAATAGATGATTGAATGGATCTAACAACCGAAACAGCGAATAAACTAATGACAAACACTTTAATTAATTAATTAACTAATCAATCAATCAATTAAATAATTAATAAGTGAACGGTTGAATGGACTGGACTGAATAAACGAATGAATGATTGAATAATGAAAATGTTATAGCCTTAACACAGGATAGTTAATCAATGAAAAAAAAAAAAATTCGCGCACGCCAATAAATTCTATAAAACCAGAGGAGTCCTAATGAGACAGAGAAAGACATTACGCAAGGATGATTTGAATGTAGTCGATTATTTCATTTCGTTTTTTAAATCAATATATCTGCCGAATCATATTTAGATCTACAAAATTAATTTTCTTTATATTCCAAAGAAGAATGTACAATAATTTAAAAAAATGATGAGTGTGAATTTATTCAATAAATAATCATCTATATATTGTTGGCTGGTTGTACAGTACATATATCAGTACGAGACCTACCAAAGAATCAGTAAAATTTAATTCGCTTACATTGCTTTAATATAAAATAAATTAATCTGGCGTCATTAGCGCCGACATTGTTGTTGTTTTTGTCGTTACCATGGGCGCTGATAAAGATGGTGTTGTTACAAAAAACTCTATGTCGTTGCTAGCAGTTGTTGTTGTTGGTGTTGTTGAAAAGGTCGAAGTTGCAACATTGTTGGGAACCGAAGTCGACGATGAGTTGGCTGACGATGTTAACGATGGATCTGGCATTGCTTCGGAATAAGTATCAGTAAAGTTTTCTCTCGCCGATGAAGTTGTAGGGTCTCTCAACTCTACTACACTCTTTGACATGGCACTGAGAGCAAATTTTATCTCTTGTTAGGATGTTGTTCTCATAACACTAACAACAAACATACACAACGACCACGTTTGCCAGAATAGCAACTGAATAACATGCACACCAGCATCTCTACAAATACTAACTCAACGAACGACTGCAGTTGTTGCTGCTGCTGCTGCAGTGCACAAGCAACCAACTGTAACGTCATCGACGTCTCTTGTGATGGCGTTATAATTGCTGGTTCATCGTGTAAGAGTGTCGTTAACTGAGGTTGTGCAAACAGATCTGATGACTGATGTTGTTGTTGTGACTGCAGCGGCTGCTGCTGAGGTTGAGGTGGCGATGGGGGTGGAGGCGGAGGAGGTAAGTAATTGGGTGCGTACGTGCCTATGATGAAAAGCAGGTCACGATCCTTCTCTGATGTCAACCGATGGATCATGTCCATGAAGTCTGCCCTCCTCTTGTACGTTGAGTTGATGAAAAAGTCTGAACGAGTAAGTGAACGAACGTAAATATAAATAACACTTAACTACTGTATTAATGAAATATTACATCAACAATATAACAGTTATAACCATACTAACCAAAATTATAATTAATCCCATATATAGAACATATAACTATATATATATATATACTTCAATACTTGACAAAGTGAATATTTCCCTATATAAACTAAATCGCACTGATGGCGATTCATTCGGAATCGAAATATGGCCTTATTTGCAGCATGAATTCGGAAAATAAGTTTATTTTGAATTTTAATAAACTAAACGTTCACCAAAAAACTTTAGTGAGAAAAATCGAAATACAAACATATTAACGCCAAACATTCGGTAGAATTTATAGAATATTGTAAAAATTAGGGTCTATTACCAACATATACTTATATATGTAAATATGTTTTATTAAAACAGCCATCACCATGATCATCACTCGCATCATCATCTTCATCATCATCCTTACCTTGATGAACCATGTGCTTGAACATACAAACAGCCACTGCCAATCTCACATTAGGCACTTTGTCCATTGACAGTTTGTGCAAACCTGTACAACAACACCAATAATAATAATAATAACAATAATAATAAATAAAAATTTATTGCGATAGAAAATTTGCAATTTAATTAGTAGATAAGAGAGCAAAGTAAAATCCAGTTTGCCTGAAAAATGAAAGTTGTAGATAAAGTATCATGAAAAAAACTATGAATGATATATTCAGTTATAGTTTTACAAATTTAAGTTGAGTGCACTTTTAGAAAGTAATATATATATATATATATATATATATATATATATATATAAATCGTCCAAAAAATCACTATATATACAAAAAAATCACTATTCTCAGTACATCAACAAGACTGACCAGGAAGAAAAAGATTTGCAAACTGTTCGCATGGCAGGCCACTGTTCTCACAGATTTTGCTGCATATCTGTGCAAAACTGAAAACAAATATATACAGATCATATTCAAAAAACATATATCTGAAACAAATTATAAATTCAATAAAATAGACCGACAGACAGACAGACAGACGCACAGACACTTACAGCTGCCTCCTGAAAAAACTATCTGAGAGGTGAAAGTTGTTAACTCTGTTGAAGAAAGCCATCCACAGTTCTTCAATGTCCTTGTCATTCTCATCTCGAGGCTTCCTTATCATTCCTTCTAACTGTGAGCGAGTGAGTGGTTTATTGATTGGATTGTTAATGACATCAAATAAGATAACTATCAACAAATAAATATAAAATTAATTATTATATTTAATAATAATATAACATTATATAAAAAATTTAACTTTTTTCATAGCATTGTTTTTCTTTTTATAATAGACATTATAATAAACAAACTAAAACTTGTAGAGAGAGCATAATACATCAAACAATGAATGAATGAATGAATGAATGAAAGAATGAATCAACAATCAGATTAATCATTCATCTATTAACATTTCGTCTGAAACGGTAAATATCAAACAACTGAACACGACAGCAAATGAATAAAAATGTAACCGACCACAGAAACGGAGGTATGTCGGACTTGAGCGACGCTATCCTCTGCCAGTTTGAACGCGATGGGAGATAGATGATGAAAAACGTCGGATGATGAGAAGAGGTCTAACAATTTGATCAGCTGTCTGTGTGTGTGTGTGTGTGTGTGCGTGTGTACGTATGTGTGCGTAAAAGTTCAAGGTGTTGAAATAAAGATGACCATCAATAATATCTGAATCCATGAAATGGTAGGAACTGCAGTGATTGTTATTGTAGCTAAATGCTATGGTCCATGCCGTTTGTTGTTCTTTTACAAATGTTACTTATTCTATAATTATTAAATCATTATTTATTCAACCAGTCATCATCATAAGCATTTATTATTTGGCTAGTTTTTACACCGGACGCCCTTCCTTACGCAACCACAGTTATAAGCGGTGGGCCTAGCCTTTGATGATCCAACATCACTCACAAGGCAGTGAGGGTCAGTTTAATGTCATAACCAGGACCTGGTCAGTGAAGATGAAAGGGAGGGTATATAAAGCATGTGTGAGAGCAGCGATGATATATGGTGGTGAAACTTGGGTGTTGAGGAGAGAGGAGGAAAGTGTACTGCAGAGGGCTGAAAGAGCTATGGTGAGGATGATGTGTGGGGTTAAAGTGAAGGATAGGAGGAGTAGTACAGAGCTGATGTCAATGATGGGACTGAATGAGGACATTGTGACATTGATAAGGAGATCGAGATTGCGGTGGTATGGACATGTGTTGAGAAGGGATGAAAGGGTCGGGATTAGGCGAGCGTTGGAGTTCGAGGTTGAAGGAGTGGTAGGAAGGGGTCGTCCGCGATTGGGATGGAGAGAGCAGGTGGAGAAGGACAGGGTGAAAGCGGGGTTGCGTGATACTGAGGCGAGTGACAGATGTGGATGGAGTCGAGGGGTATTTCGGTTTCATCATAGGTAGCCAAACGGCAACCCCCGATCTCGGGGAAAATGCCGTCTAAACGTGTGTTTGTTTGTTTTTTTGTTTATTTATTCAACCAGTTTCATATATAATTTAGTTCAACATAAAATCTTTTGAAAAAAAAGATCAGTAGCTAACATGATAAAGTTGACAATTAAAAAAATAACAAGCTTGGTCACCATATAAGCGCATAATGTCAAAGATAAAAAGGCAAGCAAGCATGCATACAAAAGAACAAACACAAACAGAGACACAAATAGAAGAAGTACTTACTCTGCCAGATCAACTCTGAACCTCCAGTTGCGTGAGTTGTCAGTAATGAGAAAGTCGGCAATCTTTGGCAGGTACTGTCTTCGTACATCAACCTCCAACAACTGAAACATGCACGACGATGGTGGTGGGCAGTTAGTTGAATGAATGCATGGGTGCACAATGTTTAAACATTTAATTACTCAAGTCATTGAGAAAATTGGAACATTTAATGAATAAAAAATAATAAAACAGCATTCTAGTGATATGGTAGGACAAATCAAATTTCATAAATTTTTCCCTTCCAAATATTAAATATTTTGAGAATTAGTAAGATAATAAATATTTTCCATTGCAAACCTTGAAGAAGTCAGCCAGATGTTTGAGCAGACCTACCCGGACATCATCAACGTCCTTGAGGAATTCATCAAAAACAGACAAGAGATCAGTCTCGGTGAGCTGGGGGCCCAAGACCATGGCCAGTTCGTGCAAGGAGAATGATAATGTACGCCTGACCTTCCACTAGTTTCAATCAAAATATATTTTCGATGGAAAAACTAATTTTTTTGGAAATTACAATTAACGAAACTCTTAAAAATTAAAACTTCTTCAAAATTTTGTTCATACAAACAACAACAAGAAGCAACCAACAAACAAAAAAGTAAACATGAAAGACCTGCATATCTCGAACAAGCTTCAGAAAGACAGGTTTCAAGAGCTGCCAGTGATTCCTTCCAAGAGCGAATGCAACAGCTGGAAAACTGTATGCACAATGTTTTGTTATCTCTGTGTCTGTCGTCTGGGCTCTGGTGGCATCAACCATGCTCAAGTAGTGGTCCAGTAGTTCTCGTGGAACAATTGTCTGGTAAATAGATTGAATGGTTTGTTGGTTGGTTGTTAGGTGAGTTACATACGAAGTCTATCTGTTTAAAACGAACGTCCAGGTTTTGTTTTAATGATTATTGAAAATAATAGGAATAAGTGAGCAAGCACATGCAAGTGAATAAGCATGTTTCATGTGTGTACACACAAAACCTAATGATCTATCTTTGATTTCTACATAGTTGATTCAGAGTATCAACTGGCATGGACAATAAATTAATGAATTAAGAGAAGCAGAAGAAATAAGAGCAGATCAACATGTAGTAGCAACCTGAGATGACGTTTCTGAATCAATCACCACTTCACTTGAGTCAACTCCCTGCAGATCTGCTGATTCATTCAACAATAATTTAAATAACTTATTAGTTTTTGCATTTAATTTACTTTCAAAAGTAACAAAAAGTATTAAACATCATATCTGAACTTGATAAATCTTGACGTCAAAACAGTTTATGTCAATCATTGGACACTCAAATTATATTTACAATAAGCAAAATATATATCTTAACCTTCTCCATTAACTTCCATGGAGGAGTTATCATAGACGGCGTTCTCAAACTCCCTGGCAGTGAGGTCATTCGTGAAACTGAATTCAAACTGCGGATTGGTTGCTGCAAAAAAGGTCTCAATTGAGCTCTTAGTGAGATGGCTGTCAACTTCACAACCGTCTTTGCTGAGCAGGGTCGTCTTCGACGTTTTGTCATCAGTTTTGTTATCAGGCATCAAAGACTGACAAGCATCACTAAGGCATGTTTGCTGCAGCTCATTGTCAACTGTCGCCTCCTGGCGTGTATCTAACGTTACATGTTTTCCAGCATCATTTGCAGTCTCGTCACTAGACATGTGTTGTTGTGTGCTCACCATAGTTGAATCTGAGGAGATATTTTTAACAATTGCTAGTGAATCGATGATAGCCTGATCATCTCCGCTATCATTTTCCTGATGAGATGAATCTTCAGTGGCCAGTGTAGTAGTTTCTGGGTCTTTCTCTACAACCGTTGGTGATGTTTGTGGTGCCACTAATGGGGAAGTTGTTGATGGGGAGATGTCCATCAACTGGACGGTTTCAGGGAAGCTTCTCCAGTAATTGAACGAGTTGAAATCTTTCAATTCGCTCTCTTCTTCCACCATATTGCTGCTTGTAATACTGCTGGTTGGGTGCTTTCCATCCTCTGTTCTAACGTTGGATGTCGATGAGTCTTGCGATATTCGACTGTTGTTCATTAATTTTGAAATTCTCTATTAGAAAACAAACAGACCAAATAATAAACTATTACATAAATTGTGGCATTAAACAGATCAAATAATAAGCTAAACTATTTAACTGCAATAAAACACTAACTAATTGCCGGCATTTAATGTGGTTAATGCTGGTGAGTCTGCAGGAGATATTGTTGTCTTAAGTGGAGTTGTCGATACCGTCACTGTTGTTACGATGTTGTCGGCATTGCCATTGACACTGGCCAGTTTCTGATCACTGATTTATTCAATGGAATGGATGCATCATTTTTTCACTTGTTTGTTTTATTTTAATTTTACACGTCACTCGAGTATTGAATATGCTTTTGTATTTATGCAACCAAACAAAATCAAAATATAAGATGTAAATTATTACCAATAAGGACAGCATAAATGAAAACATTTAGACATGAAAATACATAGGCTGACTTGACAGGAGAATTAACATCTGCATTGTTGGATAGCGTAGGAACAATCTTCCCATTCTTGTCCAACTGCAAGCCAGTTGTTGAGGAATCCGCGAATGTGGAAATGAAAGCACCAAGAGATTGAAAAGCTGCCATACGAACCTTGTTTTTGGATTATGCAACAAATGTATTAACTATGCGTCAGTCACCCAACCTCATCTACTGACAAAATAAACTCTCAAGTCAGAAATCAATTAATATATCTTGCTACTTCATTATATAAAAGTACTCTCAATAAGTTCTCTACAGCGGTGGCTGGCGGATTTAAGGACCCCCATTGTGAAAAGAATTGTTATTCAAAGTCAGTAAAACTCAGTTTTTACACAGGAAAAACATCATCAAAAATAGGTTGCCAGCCTAATTTTAGCGGCACTACTATAAATTTGGTTAGTTTTTCGGTCCCCATCAAGTTTCAAAATTGAAACATTTTCAAAATCGTCTAGAGTAACCCCTGCGTAAGTGAAAGTGCTTGCTAATAGATAAATTAAACTGCTTAACTGTTAAAAAATCCCAGACAACTGTTCAACTTTTTTTTAGCACATAACACAACAATGATGAATTAAATGAAGCAAACAAGCACCAACCCATCTCGATTGGTCAGCCAAGAGACCAATGTAGAGTTTCGCCAACTCATTCTTTCGTATTGAAAGCTGACAGGATTGGGCAACCTGCATGAAGCATTCAGTGCACGCATTGCGCACTCCCCACACCTCGTCCTGACATAGTTTGGCAAACTTGGGTAGCTGAAAGTTTCATTTTATTGCTATTCTGAATGTCTCTGTGTTGAATTGTTTTGTCAGCATGAACACTTGCAACAACAAACAGGATTTTGTGAAATGGCACCAAGTATTTGTACACATCTTCCTAACCAGAAACACTTACTTAAAAGTTTACAATGTCGCAAATACACTACTTAACTGATGTGTGCAGTACAGTGATAATGAACAGAAACTAAACAGAAACACGGATCAGGTAAATGTGTGACTAATTCTTTCAATTGAGAAGATGACATGGCACTAATACTATCTAAGCAAACTGAATATCTGAGTATAAGACTAGAACAAATAACTGCCATAATTTTTTAAAATAAACCACTCACGAGTTTTGTCTGTGTGAGATTGCAGCCAAGAACATTGCACATTTCTCCAAAATTAGTGGCACAAACCTTCATGGGAGCACCACAAAATTTAATCCAATATTATCAGATAACATCATATATTATTAACTTCATATTCACTGTTAATATTATTTCCATATCTTGATCATTCTAATCATCATCATCATCTTAACAATCACCATCATCATCACCACCATTATTATCATTGTGACCAACCTTCCTGACATGGAAGAGACTATCATCGCATAGGCTAAGAAACCTATTGAGGAAGCACCTCTCAGTTACTTGAGGACCCAATATAGATGCCAGTTTCACCATCAACTAAGTTTAATACAAAATTTTCTAGATTGATGACTAGCTTAAACATAATCTGATGAATGACAAGTGATGATGAAACATTATGATGATGGTAATAATAAATCTATCTCTATCCTTTCAACTTTATCAACAGTTAACAACGATTGCAATACTAAAGTTATCCTAGTCTGATGATACAAAACATGAACTATTAATACATTAACATTATTCTTACCATCACACACACACACACACACCACACACACACACACACACATGAATCGAAATATCAATCAAACAAAGCCACATCCATACATCCTTCCTCATGCACTGATACCCACCACAATTGATTCTGTCCTGAAGTCATCCAAGCCATCGGGTTCAGAGAGTTCCAATATGGTCGGCACCACCATCAGTTCAACTTCAGCTATCAATGTACATGAAACAAATATTATACATAACTAAATAAATAAGTTTCATAAACAAAAAAAGTAAAAATAAACCAAAACAAATAAATAATTTAATATGAAAACTAAATGTTACAAAATTTCATTAATGTTGTACATAAGCCACTAATTTCATCAACAAATAACTAGGTCCTGACCATTAATGAAAATAAAATGCAAAAATAAATAGGAAAACAGCATAGAAAATATATCAAGTACGTGACAGATGTACTGCATTCGTGCATGATAAAAGAAACTCAAGTATACAGACAGAAAGCTATCTGAAATAATTTGCATAAATTAGAATTAGACTAGTGAACAGATTTGAAATCAAATACATAAAGGTCAGCTGGTTTGGCATTAAGAAACTAAATACAAACAGAAACACAAACAACAATAAAAACAAGAAGAGGATAAACAAACCATGTGTAATGTACTCCTCTTGTGTGATAGTCAGTAGAGATGTTTGACTTGTTTTTCGTACCTAATTGCAATGGGGCATGGGAGATAATAATAAAAGCAATTATAATGCATGCCATTACATCAGCACTATAATATTGTCATCGTCTGATAACATCATGCAATCCAACCACAGCATCATAATTCCAGAGTAAAAATTTTTATAATGCTACAAATATTTGAGCTCTACATGAAGTGACAAATTAGAATACATCTCATCTGCATCAATGTTTAGTCACTGTATTGAGGTGAGTAATGATATTATTTTGATCAACAATATCTTTAAAACAATCCCATTTGTCATGGGCGTTTGTTTGTTTTGCTCTCAAAGAAGCTGGTTTGTTGATAGATTGGTAGGTTTATAGATTGTTAATAAAAATTAAACACACACACACACACACACACACACACACACACACACACACACACACACACACACACACACACACAATGGGGCAACTTAATTTGCAATTTATAAACAGTTTGACGTTAAGATGTCCAGCAATGGCTACCATGGCTAGCATAATTATAAACGCCATATCATTATTTTGTTATTTGCAATGATAATGATGGTAACATGAAATTTTTCATAGTCAACTATGAAAATGACTATGATGCATAAGATTTAAATTTACGCCTATCAATTTATTAATTTTGAATGCCTCTAAGCACCTATGGACAAATTAGACATGATGTTTAACCAATTATGTTTCTATTTAGTGCTCTAGATTGTAAGCATAGAACCTATGGTTGTAAGGAGCATGTTAAATTTTTAAGGCAAGCCGGTTTATAAAGCTAGATCATAAAAAATGCTATATATCTATCATGTCATTGTATCTAACTTCATTCAGCAGTCAACTAGTCGATCAATTTTATTATTATCCCCCAGAAATTATTAAATAACTTAACCACAACAATAATAATGAAAATGTCATTATTTCATCACGGCACATGATGATATATGAAAATATTAAATTAGACAAATTCTAATAGAACCTAGCAGAAAACAGTTGATGGAACAATTATGCAATCTTTCAAGCTACAAAATAAAAATTTAAAAGCTCATCTGTTCAAAATTTAAAACCAGTGAAAATTCTTAACAGATTGCCTTGAAATTTTAATATAAGAAAATTATAAATCATGACCTGTTTTGTACAAAAAAATTTAGACACTAGCAAGGATTGCTTAACAATGGGTAACCAATTATGTGTTCATTTACTCTTCTAGGATACAAATATAAAAATTAAACCATGCCTGCTTCAATGAGTGGGATAAAAATATCGCATACCAACAAGCCCAGTAAAATGAAAAATATTAGAAACTAGCTTTCTCTATTTATAAAATTTCATCTTATTACATAAAAATCTATAATAAACAAAAACTGCACACACACACACACACATACACACATTGTAACAAAATATAAACAAATTGGTTGATCAAAATTAGAACAGTTAACAGTGTTAACAAAGTAAAAGTAGATAGTAAAGTTGAAAAATGAGACACCAACATCTAAGAACAATTAAAACTGATATAAATGAGATGAATAAGATTGCATCAAACCTGAACATTACAATCTTGTAGACATTTGACAAGTGTTGGTAATATGTAGGTTGAGATAAGAGAGGAGTTGTATTGGTGGAACATTTCATGCACATACATATGATGTGATATCAACACTATCTGCTCTATCACCTCTATTCTAACTGAACTATCTGTCGAGGAAGAGAAAAATAAAAACTGACCCTCGATAATTGTTATAGCTTTCGGTTATTGGTAAAAAATAGTTACAATCTAATAAAATCAAACTTGATCATAAAATAAATATATTATAAAATAAAATAATAAAAATATCCACACGGAAAGATATTTAAAAAAAACTGAATTCTACCAAATTAATAAACATATGGTATATGAGAAACGAAAGTCTAGTTGGTAATAAATAAACCTGCATCTGCGGCCAGTTTAACCATGGCTTGAAGAACTTTTTCTTCATCTGATGGCTGCTCCACTAACTTCAAAGTCTCCAACAAATTTTTCGCAACTACTTGTCTGATAAGAGTATATTCATTTGAAATAAATTCTAAACCACTGAAATTTACATAAAATTAGCATTAAAAACATTATTTACCTATTAATATCAAAAACTTTCTTAACAAATATGAACAGTTTTATAATAATATAAAGATAAACTTTAAAATAACTACATACCTTGTGTACATGTGTTCACTTAGCATTAACTTTTCAAGTTTTTGCAGAGGTCCTAAACCAAAGTCAGGATTGCTTGAATCTGAATCATACCCATCAGATGACCCCAATAGGCCATCATCTCCTGGAGAGTAAATATTATTAAATGTTAATATTATTATAAATATTAAAACTATTGAATGTCATTAAATAACAAAAAATGTAATATATCCATGTATGATTGCAAATTAATCAAATCTCAAGGCCTTACTGGAACGAGGAATAAAAACATTGAGTGGTCTCCTGGTTGGAATGCTAATTGAAAGTAAGGTCATTTTGTAATGTGCCATGTTTCAAGTTTGCTATGTAGTGCTTTTCTCGATGTGGTGTGGATGTGTAGAGCAATAGTGGAATAAGATGTATCAATGTGTAACCACACAAACCCCAACAAATGACATATAACAAATGAATTCAAAATCTTTTAGCTATCATCAAATTATTTAATTGAATAAAACATTAAAATGTTATTTTAATTGAAAAAAAACACTATGTAAATTCAATTGTAAATAAGTTAATTACAATTACACTATATTACACTATGTCACCAGCATTAGCTAGAAAGAAGTAGGCAAGAGATAGTAGATAACCAGGACAAAGAAATTTTTAGTACAAAAAGAATAAAGGATAAGCCTTATATTATAAAAGAGCTTTTCTAAAAACAACTTACATACAAATAATATAATATTGTATAACATGAATACAATACAACACTCAATATTGAGAGTTAATACAATGTCAATACAACAGTTATTTTATACAGTTGTATTACAATAATAAACCTGTAACAAATGCAATTGAATTACTTACAATGAAAATAGTATGTATGGTAAATAAAAAGGAAGGCTGACACAGCGTCCATTCAGCATTCTCGGACGAATCTCCACGTTAGTTAACGATTTAATTATTTTCAATTTTCGAGAAAAAGTATAAAATGAAGAATAAACAATCAAAATGTCAAAAGTTTAATCGAAAATTTTAATTACCAGAGTCTGAGCTCTCGTCATTGTCAGCTTCATAAAACTGGATATCTGACAAAGAATACATCACGTTCGCGATTAAATTAAAAAAAACCCGTCGTTAAGATGAAAATTTTTTTGAAGCGATATTTTTGAAGAATAAAAATAAAAATAAATACGTACTGACCTGCCATTTTGGTAACACCTACTTTTTAGAATTAATTTTTTGATTGGATGAAAATAAGTTATGAAAATTCTTATTTGCTCATCAACTTTACATAGACAACTTATAAAATAACGCGCAAAGACTGCAAATTGCAAGCTGGGCTCATCCGCGAGATTTTAACTTAAAAATTGAGCTGTAGTACTCGAACTCTCTACATTGACTGGGTGGCTTCGAAGCTTATAATTTGAAAATCGCTAATACGATAGGAAATTCTAGTCAAAAATTCCGTTGGTAGTTACTAACCTATTTTACGAGTGGAACGAAAAACGTCGAGAGCGTAATACAATTGTGCTTGCATAATTATTCTTTTAATATATATATATATATATTATTTTTTTAATATATATATATATATATATATATATATATATATATATATATATATATACTATTATACCATACACAATTATAGAATAATAGAAACAACACACAACTTTTACCAAGTTACATTTTTTTCACAATAGTCAACTATAATTTTAAGCGTAAATAAAAAGGTAAATTTCTATGAACAACATCCTTCAAAGAGTCAGTACCAGTATGTCTTTGCCGGCTTCCTATCATCCTTTATTCCCATTTCATTGCTTATGTCCTCTTCAAATGTGCACAACTTTGGTACGAATGTTACCTTTTTGACTTCATTGTTCAAGGTATCTTTATCAGATGCTGTTTTGTAAGAATAACGAAATTAAAAAAATAAAAACATTAAGAATTTGATTAGATAAAATTAAAAACAAAAAAAAATCAAAAAGTTTGAATTAATATTTTTATTCACTATAGTTAGTAACAAAATATGATGACAAGTGAAAATAACAAACATGAATAGAGAAGAGGATTGGCCAGATCTTCAAGTTCATGAAATCCACTAGGCAAGGGAATGATCCTTCCTGTTCTCGTTGACACCCTCACTCTTTTACCATCCTCTGTGTAGCGCCATTCAATTTTTGTAGGCAAACTAAAATGAAATAAAATATAATGTTTTTGTAGGCACACTTAAATAAAATATAAGATTTTTTAATATATTGATTTAAATAAAATTTTAGTAATGAAAATCACCATATTGCAGGTAATGCAAAAGATGAGAAAGTGCAATAAATTACTTGTCAGATGGATCAACCAGAGCAACTTGTTTTGTGACCAGCAATGGTAGTTCATCTTTGATGCAGACAGGCATTGAAGTGGGGGATTGTTGTCTCATTGTGTAACTCTAAAAATATTTTTTGTGTTGATTTTAATAACCTAATTTTACAAGACTTATAAATGATTATAATGACCAGATGTGATAAACTTGTAATATAAATAAAAACTATTGAAGAACTTGAAATGTTCAAGTGATTTGAACAAACTTACACAGTTCAATCCTTCCACAAACACCCAATTTCTTTCTTTGATAATACAATTGATTAAACCATGTTTACCTTTATCTGGGCCAACCAAAATTTGAACCTAAATCAATTAACAATGAAATAATTAGTTGACAAATATTTATTACCACAACTTAATATTACAGATAAGCGATAAGCTAAGCAAGGAGAATTCAAGTTGAATATAATAATTTAAATTTTAAAACATCAACATTATTTTATTATTTATTTTTCAATAGAATGTTTTGTTTAGTAACAGGTTTAATGATTAATTTAATATTAATTAAAAAGATTAAAATTAATTTTTGATTAAATAAAATTTAAAAGTTACATATTATATTTCAGTTTGTTTGCACATAATTTCTTGACGCTTCTTACCCTATCACCTTTAAAAATGGACCACTCTTTGATTGGTTCAACTGGTACGTACTTTCTTGGCTTTTGTTGGTTGAACTGCTTAAATTCAGAAGTCCAGGGCCTGTGTTCGTTGTAATCCCAATTTTTCTTTACTACATCCTTCCATCCATTTATCGGATTCCAAGTTCTTCTCAAGTGTGAATGAGTTAATTCTCTTTCGATGTAGCGTCTAAAATATCTACTTGCGCAAATTAGTGTTAACCGCATGACTCGAAAAATAAAACACCAAACACAGCAGTGTCCGGGGCACAAGGTGTTAAAAAATTTTAAAAGGTAACTTAAAATTAATGTAAACATTATAGTTCACCATGCGCCTAATTATTGATTTCTAAGTATGACCACCGTCTGATTAGGACATCGGACTTCTGGGAGAAAAGAAAATGACAAACGTTTAAGTGACTCAAACTGGCAATCTAAAATTATTTTTCTAAAGACAATGGCCGAATAAAAGTTTTTACCGTTCTTCGAACTCAAATACGCCATCGGTGTTAAGATGCAAAACAGTTAACAAGATGAAATAAAAATTACAGAAATGTTAGTCAGCACTCTTTAGCACTTATCTGACTTTCTACATACAAAATTCTTCAATAAAAAGTGCGGAATAATGCAAAACATCATCATCGCCATAGGTCCAAAAAACAAATAAATTAAATAATTTATACCAAATTTAGAATCAAACGCATACGCACAACAAAAAGCCTACATTAACAAATCACAAATAGTTATCAAATTACAAACATTCATCATTTATATTACGTTTGATTTTATATATAAATAAGCAATAATAACGATGGTAGCAGCAATATTCGAAAAAATTAACAACTGTGACAATAAATAATAACAATAATAATGAGAAATATCCAATAGCCGAATGAAAAATATTAATAAGTCACTAAGGAGTGTAGGTGTCTTATGAATTCAATGTAAGACATGTTCAAGACATCAGACGTCCTGTCCTCCAGCAGACGTTCGTAAAACATAACACGATCTGTTTGGTCATCCCTAAGACAAAAATCCATTTATAATGACGTAATTGATAATATAAAAGTAATTGTCATCACCATAATCATTACAATTGTCATAACAATGTCAAGAATTTAGTTGTCTGCAAACTTACCAAGTTAATGTATTCGTAAGAACGTCTCTAAACAAATAACGACTGAGCAAGTCCAGTAAAGCTGAGAACCAAGCTAACCCATGCATTTTAACTTGAGTATTAATAAGAAATGAAATGGCTAGAGCTAGCTCCCAAGAGACATGATGAACATTGGTCCGAGTTATAGTAATAATTAATGACCACCGCTGACAATTGTCAGAAATATTCGTGAATGAAGTAATAAATAAATCAGCTCGCTATTATTTACGATGGTATTTTATTTTAGAATTTGTATGATCAACAGTATTCGAATTTGTTACAATACGAAAATAAATAAAAAACATTAAGCTGACGAAAAAGCATTTAATTTTTCTGCAAAAAAATGAAATAATGCAAAATATGATAAAAGTGCATAAAAAGAACCTGATTAAGATAACAGGAGAGTAAGTACTTCTTGTACTTTGAAGATACTCTATGAAGTTCCTTACATTTTCTGACCATACGTTGTCCAAATGAGGAAACTCAAACTAATTTCCAAACATTAAAAGCAAATTAACTTGTTATAAATGTTGAGGGCATTATTTGAAAAAGTGAACATAAAATTGTGATAAATAAAATTAAAGATTTCAAACAAAACGTATAACTTAATAAAAATAATGAACACCTGAAAATACATAAAAGAACAAAATGAAACACTCCCTCTACACACAAATAAATATTCAACAATTTCACTTCATATAACGCTTATAAGTTGAAATGAATTTAAAGCAACATAAAGCACAAACCAATCCACTGAGCACATCCCCAAATTTCTGGACTCCAATAACATCCCTGAGGAATGCCCGACTGACAGAGCTGGACAACCAGAGGTACATGTTGAAGCCATCATCGAGCAGGTAGATTCCCAGCCTGTCCATGCATCCAGCCGAGAGTGGGAGCAGTGGTGGCTGACAGATGACCCTGTCATCTACGTACAAGGCATTCTGCATTTTGAGGAAAACCGATTAAAAATTTTTAAATGCTCGAAAGTAAAAAGTATAAATTTTGAAAAATATGTATTTTAAAATTTCAGACTTCATTATTTAGCACCACCAATATTATCATTCAAAGCAACACAAGAAACCTCACCCTATCGTTTAGCTTATGCAGTGGATAGAAGTTTGGATGAATGTACTTGATGATGTGCGTCCAAGGAAGTGTCTTGAACTGGTCCAACATGAAAACTCGATCGTCAAGTTTTGTGCTCACCCCAAGTCGAAATGGAATCTAATAATCGTGCAACAAGCGGTAAGAAATGCAATCACGATGACAGTTATGCAGCGAGGTAACCGTTTCTATTTTGGACAACAATTTTTGACGAGTATAGCACAAATTACTGTCGTACAAGCACTGAAAAAACGTTTACAATAAAAAAAAAAACGAAACCGACAGATTTTAAAAGTCCAAGGATGTATAGCGGTAATGCCCTCAAGAAGAAAGGACAAGGAAGCTGTCCACCCCTCTGTCCACTTGAAAGGTTCTCCCCATAGGCATTCAATGCATCAAGTGCCACATTTGTCAAAGCTTCCCTGGCGTCAGCAACCGAACTGTTGAGAGATCTGTCGACAGCTGTTGTTCATTTGTTGCAGAATTGAGGTTAATTTTTGAGCGAAGGCATTGTTTGTTTGGCGTTGTCAGTTTTTTCATTAAAACCATCATTTGTTTTGTTATACCAATTCTTGACAAATAGTAAAATGCGATGCAATAGAAGGTTGAATAACAGATATGTAATATTACAAAAACATATATCGATATATTTTATACTGATACAATGATGTAGATGGAAACATTCAAACCAACCCATCTTAGCAACGAGAGCCGTGATAGCCATCTGGTTGGCATGTGCAAAGACATCACTTAGGTAGGTGGATACAGGCAGGCAGATCGTGTGCACTCGTATGCGACGTTCAACTGTTCGTTCATGTAATGTTAATTTTGTTATCATTATCATCATCCTCATCGCTACCATCATCATCATCTTTATAATCATTCTTATCAGTTTAATTACATGATTAGCTACCGAAATTTTAAAAATATCTGCGTTATCATAAATTTTGAATTCATTATTTAAAAACGAACAATATTACAAAACATAATTAATTTACAGAAACCTACATTAACAGTTACTACTAACATCGATTGGTGGTGTACAATAAGGCAGCCTGTATGCAGACCTTGGTGTCTTCAATGGAGTCCTCCATCTGAATTTGAACAGCGTAAGAGAGATCTGGAGTAACAGAGGAGAGGGAGAGCAGGTCAACAGATCTCACAAATCCATTTCCATGAAAGAGTTGAAGACTGAGGCCTATTGAAATTATTTGAACAAACGACTGAACTGTACGACGATGGCTGGAGTAGTACTGACGAAAAACACGCTAGTCAAAAATATTATTACAATAATATATCATTCTAACTCGCAATACAGATACAAATTTATCTACTCTGTATAATTACTAATTACTTTGTCATTTGCAATCGCTAATGCTACCGCAGTAGCAACTGTCACTGCTGCTGCTCCCACCACAAATACTACTACTTCGACTATCACTACCAACACCGTCAGTAATGACATTATAATAATTATTACTAATGCTAAAATGTTATTATTATCAATACTATTACTACCACTTCAAATACTAATACTACTGGTGAAATGATGGATAGAAAGAAAAATTAACCTTGAGTGCATCTGACTCTGAGGACAGCCTCGAAACCGACGTTCGTCGAGAAGTACCTGTCGAGTGTTTCGTCGAACCTGCTCGATTCAACAGGATTGGACGTGAGGTGGTAGTTGGGGAAGTAGAAGAGGCAGCCGCCAGAGTAACGTGACAAAACAGCTGCGAAATAAAATGTCAATCATCAAACATAGGTCCATAAGCGGTAAAACTGGTTGCTTTTACAATGAAATATACCTTAACTATAAAATGCTAAGAAGCACTCATAACAATTTGTATGAAAGTCTTCAGTCGATTGGAAACGATAAATTCTATTTTTTAACATTTATCAGGATAAAAAATTAATTTTTGAAAATTAGCTGAACATAGAATATTGAATTACATAGGGTAGCCAGATCAGCGTATTGAGTGTTGAGCATAAAGAGGTCAAAAGCCACATGTGATGAAGATCCATCGAGAGCTACCTTCTTGTAAAAGTCTGTGGCTGCCGTCAGGTTTTGCACCACCTGTTTGTGTGTGTGTTGGTTGGTGTGTGGACGCTTACGTTTGTGGCAACATCATATTACTTCATAAAGAAGCAAATTATGTTGTAACAAAGAACAAACAAAGTAACAAACAAAGAAGCAAATCATGTAACACATCACAAAAGCGTATCACTAACCTCACCAGCCCTCTTATTTGGATCCTCCCTGGACTTTAGGGATCCTTCTCCAACATCCGGAATTTTCGTTTGAAAGATGCTCACCCGACCACCCGTTGGCGCCTGTTTGATCAATGCATTGCATGTGGCGAGGTCAGATTATTGGACACCACATACAATAAACAACTGGTTGCTAATTCAAATTAATTATGAAGACCCAATTACTGTTTTCATTTAAAAATAAAAAGAAACAAAATAAAATACTATGCAAGCAAGATTGCGTCTATTTACCAAACAAACTACTTATTTAAGTACACATGTACTTACTATACAAAGGTGTGTTGCATATAATTAGATAGAAACATATTCAAGTAAACAAACAAAATCAAACGAATAAACAAAATGAACATACATACACAAACATTTAAACATTCAATCTATGCAGTTAGGCATACCAAAATTTCATAGGCAAGTTTCAGAGCAGGTCCCAGACAGCTACCAATCTCTTTGTTGTCCTTGTGCATGGATGGTAGGTTTGTCAGCAAATCCACAAACAAGCTTTGGGAAGTTTTTAAATTGACCAATAATCCATCAGGTGCAGGTATGAACAGATCTAAAAAAAAATGAAATAAGGTGACGTTTTATCTAAATCTAGTTCTCATCTCTCTCTATAATCAAGCAACATCAGAAACCTACTTTCTAAATCTGGCAGTTTATAGACAATAGGTTTAGTATATCGGTGATGGATGTTGTAGAGGTGAACAGATGTGTGGAAGGTCATAACGCCCACCATCACGTTATCATGTGTTTTCAAGGATTCCAACTTCTCAATCACACTTTGGCACAGTGAAATCAGGTAGCCTTTATTAAAAAAACAAGTCCCAATTTTATTGAATTGAAAGAATAAATTTTTTTGCAAGAAATTAAAGAAACATGGCTAACAAATTACTCATTATCATCATTACAAATCTTGCAGGCAATATCACAATCAATCATCAACATCATATTTGTCATCATCCTCATTTTCATCACCATCTTAATTGCGTCAGAATCATAATCCTTATCTAACCTGTCTCGATAGCATTATATGACACATCCAGAAGAAAAAAGTAGACAGGCACTGCTAAGTTACCAACCTTTGAAAGCGAGAAAAACAATTGATGCACCACAATAAAATAAATTCAAAATATAATGTACACAATTTAATAATAATAATAGCAGATGTTTAATGGATACTTTAAGAAGTGAACGACAGACAGACAAGCAGATATATAGAGACAAACATAGAGTAGGACTGAACACTAACAATATATTCAGGAGAGGCAATAACTTCATAGGAAGAAGAGTTCATCTCATTCCGGTGTCTTCCATTTGTGTAAGCCTTGCGCTTCACGTCATACGAAAAATCTTCTGGCACTGAAGTAACCAATTGAAATGTATGACTCATATCAGCCAGCAAAAATAAAGAGACATAAAGAGCGCAAACAGGAACTTACGGTCATTGAACCTGGAGCACATGCAACATTTCCACCTGTGCCTGTCTATGATCACCACGTAGGGATTGATGTACATGCGACAAAGTCTACATCTGACTATTGTGTCTACCTTTACTACCGGCACATTCTGAATTGCGTGTGTGTATTCGTGCATTGTACTGTGCATGCTTCATTGATGGTATACCTCACCAATATGCTGTAACTAAACTGCATTATGATACGGTTACGTCAGACACGAAATAAACTTGGAGAAGCACAAAACCATATATATATATATATATATATATATGTATACACGCAACAATTGAATATAATTGAATGTAAACTAAAAGTAACTAGGCAACACATAACACAACAAAACATGCTCCTGAATGAATTAGGAGCAATTTAGAAATGTAAATGTTACAAACGGGGATGTCTTTTAATGGTTGAACATGAACAGCCAGTGGTAGTCTGGCCTTCTGAAGGAGGGCGGGTGTGTTGGGTAGAACGTTCAGGGTACAACACATCACCCTGTTCAAAGATGGATGAATGTTTACTCGTTCACTCACTATTAACCAACCAATCAGTTCAATCAATCATTCCTTAAATCAAGATTAGCCGACTAACTCTGGATCACAGACTAAATTATCTGACATGGGAGGTAGATTGACCTCTGAACCTGTTTCGGGGATGACGTCCTTCTCTCTCAACAAATCCACACATCTATTGCAACTGTTCTGCAATGTCAATCATCAAGTCGGTTATGTGAGTGAATATGAACAAAATAAACTTACAGAATAAACAATAATTTAGAAAACCAGCAAGCAATACAATCAATTGAATTAAACACAAATCGATTATTATTAATCTTATCATCTTACTAACAAGCCAATTTAGTGTAATTAGTCTCTCTCACGATCCAATTCAAATTGCACATAGTCATCTTCAATTGAGACCATAACAAAACTAAACCATCAATCACACTCTTGATAACAATCGGTCAATAAGTCGGTCAGTTGGCCAGTCTGTCAGCCAACCAGTGTCAGTCAATCAGTTAGTTAACCAATCAGCAAATCAGTTGGTAGGTTGGTCAGTCATGACGGCCAGTGAATCAAGCAGACGAACCTCCAATTGTGCTCTGTTAAAGTTAGAAACATAACTCTGCAGTGCACCTTTATAATTTCTTGATTCTATTGGCTTTCTCTGCCTTCCCGTTTTTCTATCATGCAACTGACAGTTTTTAGAAGATAAATGAAACAAACAACAACAACAATAATATATTCAATTATAATTCTATAAATAAAAATGTGGCAACATTGTCTAAACTGTGTTGATAGAAATAAAGATGTAAACGATGACAGTAGCTTACACTTGCTGCCTTCTTGTGGATCCTGTGATTGACGTCAGCTAGTTGTTTAGAAGCTGCACGTTTGATTGTTAGCAGTGTTAGTTAACTAAAAAAAAACTCATAATAAATAATAATTTTCTAAACTAATGTATAAGTGATACACATTAATTGAAATAGAATTTAAATTATACTATACCTTAATATTAATAGAAATTCACTCTTATCATTAAACATTTAATCAAAAATTTATGACATCAAAAAGAAGATTTTTAAAAATCCTATTCATTCTAAAGCAAAGCATACAATTCAAATTTGAATTGAATTTCTCTGTTCAACCTAGCCAAATTTATTTGACTGATAGAGCTAACAGGAGAAGCACAGCCTACTTAATTATTACCATGCTTATCATCATCATCCTGCTTGCTGTTATCATATCACTGCCATCATCATTATAATCATCATTGTAATCGCCACCATCATTAACATCACCAACCAGAGGTATCATTGAAATATCCTTGACCTTCTAGATCATAACCCTGATCATCTGATGAGCCCTCAGACGAGTCCTCTGAAGAAAAATATAATAATAATACAGATAATAATAATGATATTATTACTATTAATATTATTAAAAACAAAAACTAACCTTGTAACAATTAATAACAAACAATGGTGTAACCGAAAATGAAAATCAATTACAAATTAATATGTAGAAAAAGTGAAAACAGAAAATTCTTTCTATAAAGTTGTATAAAGTTTCTATAAAAATGTAAAGTTTACTCGAAATCAGCAGATGACAAAATAATATACCTGATAGTTCAGTGGTGATTCAGTGACAAGTGATAAAAAAGTTGATAAAAAGATTTGCATCATCACATAAAATATATTGCCCTTGTGGTCATTTCTCATTAAGGATTGCAAGAAACAAAATGAAAGGTATTAAAAACAAATGTTAATTGCATTCATTACCTGTGTTATATTCATCGTCGTCGTCGTCATCTTCGTCATCATCATCATCATCTTCGTCGTCATCATCGTCATCGTCGTCATCATCACCATCATCATCTTCAGTATTCTCTTGTTGCTGATGCTGATGTTTGTGCTTATGTTGGGCTGCATCGGACTTTGTAGTACATGCTGTTGTGGTGAGTTTGGCTAATATTATTATTGACATGAACAGAGTTATGTAAACATTTAAATTGATCTGCGTTAACACTTACAACACTACTACTATCATCTACCAGTATAATATTTCTATAATATTTTTATAAAAATATTGAAAGAATCCAAAACGGAACAATTATTTCTTGTTATTAAAAGCCATTAAGATAAAACCTTTGTCTGCTTGGATGGATGTTGCAGACTGATCAGAATGGATGTTGAAGTTTTGGTTGAAAATGTTTTCAACATCAACCATATCTTTCTCAACATCAACATTGTCAGAACTCTCATGCTGAGCATTGCTAGCAAAATGTTGAACATTTGTTTGTGCTGCTGGTGAAATTGTACGGTCTGTCTGCATTTTAGTTAGGTTTTTTTCTATGTTTTGTTGTTGTTGAATGAGTGCACAAGAAGGAGCTGTAGTTGCTTGTGTATTTGCTGCAATGGTCGTTGTTGGTGATGTCGTAGATGCTGTTACTGGTGTAATATTGGTAGATAGATGTTGTTGAATTTCTTCTGCTTGATGTTCATTATGCTTCAAATGTTGTTCATTTTGAGAAAGTTGTACTTGATTGAGTTGTTTTTGAGCTTGCAGGTAGGATTGTTGTTGGTTGTTGGTGGGTAGCTGCTTTTGTTGCCGGGATGAATGATGGTTCTCGGATTGCTGAAACAGCTGTGATGTTTGTTGCCATTGTTGCTGTGAATGTTGCTGTTTGAGTTGAAGTTGTTGTTGTTGAGTATGCTGTTGTGAAAAATGTTTTGGCTGTGGTTGTTGTAAAAAATGTTGTTGAGCCTGTGTTTGTTGAGACAGTTGATGTGTCTGTTGTTGAAACTGTTGCTGTGTTTGTTGTTGAAACTGTTGCTGTGTTTGTTGTTGAAACTGTTGATGTGTCTGTTGTTGGGACAGTTGCTGTGTCTGTTGTTGAGACTGATGCTGTAGCTGCAAATATTGTTGTGCCTGTGTTTGCTGAAACTGTTGTTGTTGCTGCTGCTGTGCTTGCGTTTGTTGAGATTGCTGTTGAGACTGGTGATGAGCTTGACATTGCCGTGGTAGATAGGATTGATATTGTGATTGCTGATTTAATTGTTGTTGCTGCTGCTGCTGAGTTGACGGTTGGTTTTTAAAATATAAACTAGACTGAAATGGTGTTGCTTTGCTGTCTGATGACATTTCTGTATTATTCTGATAAGGTTGCCTTTGTAGGGGTTGGTTTTTTTTCTGTGGAACATTTTGCACTTTATCATTTTCTAGTTGAGTGTATTGTTGTGTATTAATTGGATGCTGAAAAAATTGTTCCTGCTGCTGAGTTGCTGATTGTTTGGGTGTTGGAAAAATGTTTTGAGATGTCAACTGTTGGGATTGACTTGAATGAGTCATATTCTGTTGACAACTGGACCTCATCATTGAATTTTGTTGCAATGACTCTTGATTGGTTTGCTGTAGCTGCTGATTAGTCAGCTGAGTACTTTGTGATATAATTTGTGGCTGCTTTGAATGATATTTTAAATTTTGTTCAGGTGATCTTAATTGTTGTTCTCTTTGAAATAAAAAATTCATAGCATTTTGTTTGGAAGCCTGTTGCAACATTTGCTGATTTAGAACCTTTTGTTGGTCAAGATTATTATGTTGTAACTGGCCAGTAGGTGTGAAAGAGTTGTTTCTTTGCTGGTTCAGCTGCTGGTGATGTTCATTATACATTGGAGTTGACTTTCCTGATGTTGTTGTTACTTGTGAATTAATGTTTTGCAATAGTTTATTCTGTTGGAGTTTGGAATCAACATGTAAGGAGTTAGAATTTTGATTGGCTTGATATACAAATGGTTGAATATTGTTGATTGATGTATTTTGTTGGTAACAGTTTTTGGTAGGCTGTTGTGGTGCTGACTGCATTGTAGGAGTAAATCTAATAAACGTTGCAGCATCAGTTCTTGAGTTTGTTGGAAATTGACAAAACTGCTGAGGTTGAAATTGTTGTGTTTGATTAAAATAGTTTGTAGATTCGGTGCTTTGTTTCACCAATTGAAATTGCTCACTGTTCATACTTGCAATTGTAGTAGTAGAAGAACTTGACACGTTAGATGAAAATTGAGTCTGCGAGCTTGTCACATGAGAATTTGAAAATTGAGAAACTTTGATAGGCCTTGCTGGTTGAGAATGAGATGATCTCATAAGAAAATTGCTCTGATTACCATTGCTACTATAATTATTTTGTTGCTGAGCCATTATTCTGCTTTGATGTTGATGGAAAGTTAGATGTTCTTAGAACAAAAAATTTCAATGAAGAATATTTTATTTACTTTCTTTAGTAACATTCATAAATTATAGCTCAAATCAACCAATGGTAGATCTAGACAAAATTTTGAAAATGAAATGTTCACCAGAAAGGAATTTAAAAAATGTTAAACGTTCATAGATGAACAAGGGGCCAAATTTTATTACTACTTTTTTTTTAAATTATTACCTCATCACAAAGCATTTGCCAATTATCAAACATGCAATTATTAAATCTAAATGTAAAAAACAAATTTTTCATAAGAAAATAAGACTGAATTACAAGAAATAAAGTGTTTATTAATTGTCAGTAACAGTGCCAAGCAAGGTAATAAAAGTAATTATTAAATGCTGGTTTTTATTAACTGTAAATCATGGTGCCCAGCATATTAACAAAAGTAATTATTGCTGGTCATGGGTCAGGTCATGGGTCACAGTGCAGCAGTGTACTGACACAGATAAAAGTAATAATAATCATTGTGGTTATAGTTGGCAAGTGTACTGATAAAAAAATTATTAATTATCGTAAGCTCTAACCATAAATTATAACTCAAATTAACTAACCACTAGCCAGCTAGGAAGGTAGATGTTCATTCAGTGCAGAAACAAACTTTTTTTAATTTTTAGCTTGGTAACCTCCATTGTCCTAACAAATTAATATCAGTTTTGATATTTATGTTATGAATAGATCAACAAATTCCCGAATAAAAAAATCATTTAAATAAAAATGAATAGACTTGGTTATTAAATAAATTATATACTAATAATAAGAATTTAAAATTTAAATGCTTGACGCCTGAACGATAAAATAATTTGTACGTAAAACTGAAATTAGCATAGAAAACAAAAACATTATACAAAAAATAACTGTATCAAGCTTATTAAGTGTTGTACGAATTTAACAAATTAATCGAATCAGCTCAAATTTGAGTTAATATTTTTACGTATCTTACAAGCTTTTTCATTAT